GCCTCCAGAAATCCTAAGGCTGGAATGGGACGTTCATCCGAGAAGGGAGGTCTGGTGAAGAAAGTAGGACTAGAAAACTCAAGAGGGGTGGGTGGAGCTGGAGCAGTACCCAGGAAAGTCCTGGCGCCGAGCTCTTTCCTCCCCCAGGGAGCGCCAGGCCCCAAGCTGCTGGTGGCAGGAGGCGGAATCTGCAGTAGAGGGCCCTGCTTGGGAATGAAGTGCCGCTGCTCCTGTAACGGGACCCCATGATCCTGGCTGCCATCTGGGTGCAGGGTCATGTCCCTGCTTATGGGCCAGGCTTGTCTGGCTTGAGTTACAGGCAGTGGTCAGTGAGCTTGCCTTGATCTGGCCACACCCATTAACCAAGAGTCCAGCGTCTCTGGGAACAAGGGCTGTGAGTCTGTGATTGGCAGGTGTGTTGGCAGGAAGCTTGGAAAGGATGTCCTTGGCTTGGTGCCATGATCTCTCCCCTTCAACAGTGCTCTCCAGTGTATGCTGGGCTCTACATGAATGCTCTCAGCTGAGCTTCAAACCCTGGCAGTAATACCATGCTCCCCAAACTGTGGAGGAGCAGCGTTAGGACTCCAGCACTTGGTCTGACCTGCGTCCAGCCCTCTCCTCTGGCCCCTGCCTGGGGTGACAAGGTGCGTCTCTTAACTGCATGTGTGGGAGGGAAGGGAAACAGTGGGGGCTGCGTGGAGGGTCTCTACACCCGCTTTGCTCTCCATCACAGGTGCTGTCCCCGTTCTATCTCTGGACCACCCTCCCCATGACTTCTGACAGACTCCTCCATCTATGGGGTGAGAAGCACCTCCACGTGGGCGAAGGGAGCCTGGGAGGAGCTGAGGGCTTCCAGCCGGAAGGGGCACTGGCCTGTAACTTCTTGTTTTGAAAATAAAAAACCTCCTATGGTTCTTTAGGATATAAACCATGGAACATATGGGCTGAGCCAATCCTGGCCAGCAGGAGGCCACGCACGAGAAGGGGATGTGAGATTCACATGTTAACAAAGGGCACTGCAGACTGGACAGACAGCAGCGCTAGCCCCAGGTGTGGGGAGCCAGCCACTCTGGGAGGGCTGGGCTCCAGTCGAGGGGTGGGAGAGGCACTGACGGGCTGTACCTTCACCTGTGCTCCTCACCTGTGCCCCAGCCTCACCTGTGCTCAACCTCACCTGTGCCCCAGCCTCACCTGGTGCCCTCACCTGTCATACCTTTACCTATGCCCCATCTTCACCTGTGCCCTGCCCTCAGCTATGCCATACCCTCGCCTGTGCCCTGCCGTAACCTGTGCCCTGGCCAGTGGGGATGATCACCCTTGACTGTTAGGCTCATGGGGGATGGACTCCAGAGCTGGAGGCCATGGCAAACTGTAAATGGAAACCGTTGTACAGATGGAGGTTCTGCATGTGATGCCAATCGCCTGTCCTGGGGTCCTGCACCACCCCAACCACCAATTTTTGGGGTAGAAATTTTATATTCTGGCAATTTTTCCTTTGTCTTTGCTTTTTGTTTAAAAACAGCAGTCAGTTCAGTCACTCAGTAGTGTCTGACTCTGTGACCCCATGGACTGCAGCACATCAGGCTTCCCTATCCTTCACTATTTCCCTGAGTTTGCTCAAACTCATGTCCATTGAGTCGGTGATGCCATCCAACCATCTCATCCACTGTTGTCCTCTTTTCCTCCTGTGTTCAATCTTTCCCAGCACCAGAGTCTTTTCCAATGAGTCAGTACTTCACATTAGGTGGCCAAAGTATTGGAGCTTCAGTTTTAGCATCAGTCCTTCCAATGAATATTCAGGATTGATTTCCTTTAGGATTGACAGGTTTGATCTCCTTCCTGTCCAAGGACTCTCAAGATTCTCCTTCAGCACCACAGTTCAAAAGCATCAATTCTTCCACGCTCAGCTTTTTTTATGGTCCAACTTTCACATCCATACATGACTACCAGAAAAACCATAGCTTTGACTAGACAGACCTTTGTCAGTAAAGTAGTCTCTGCTTTTTAATATGCTGTCTAGGTCTGTCATGGCTTTTCTTCCAAGGAGCAAGCATCTTTTAATTTCATGGCTGCAGTCACCATCTGCAGTGATTTTGGAGAAAATAAAGTCTCTCACTGCTTCCATTGTTTCCCCATCTATTTGACATGAAGTGATGGGACCAGATGTCATGATCTTAAGTTTTCTGAATGTTGAATTTTAAGCCAGTTTTTTCACTCTTTCACTTTGATCAAGAGGCTTTTTAGTTCTTCTTTGCTTTCTGCCATAAAGGTGGTGTCATCTGTACATCTGAGGTTATTGATATTTCTCCTGGCAATCTTGATTCCAGCTTGTCCTTCATCCAGCCTGGCATTTCACATGATGTACCCTGATATAAGTTAAATAAGCAAGATGACAATATGCAGCCTTGACACACTCCTTTCCCAATTTGGAACCAGTCCACTGTTCCACATTCAGTTCTAACTGCTGCTTCTTGACCTGCATACAGATTTCTTAGGAGGCAGGTCAGGTGGTCTGGTATTCCCATCTCTTTAAGAATGTTCCACAGTTTGTTGTGATCCACACAGTCAAAGGCTTTGGTGTAGTCAGTGAAGCAGAAGTAGATGTTTTTCTGGAATTTTCTTGCTTTTTCTATGACCCAACAGATGTCGGCAATTTGATCTCTGGTTTCCCTGCCTTTTCTAAATCCAGCTTGAACATTTGGAAATTCTCAGTTCATGTGCTGTTGAAGCCTCACTTGGAGAATTTTGAGCATTACTTTGCTAGCGTGTGAGATGAGTGCAATTGTGTGGTAGTTTGAGCATTCTCTGGCATTGCCTTTCTTTGGGATTGGAATGAAAACTCACCTTTTCCAGTCTTGTGGCCACTGCTGAGTTTTCCAAGTTTGCTGGCGTATCGAGTGCAGGACTTTCACAGCATCATATTTTAGGATTTGAAATAGCTCAGCTGGAATTCCATCACCTCCACTAGCTTTATTTGTAGTGATGCTTCCTAAGGACCACTGACTTGGCACTCCAGGATGTCTGGCTCTAGGTGAGTGATCGAACCATCATGGTTATCTGGGTCATGAAGATCTTTTTTGCATAGTTCTTCTGTGTATTCTTATCACCTCTTCTTAATATCTTCAGCTTCTGTTAGGTCCATACAGTTTCTGTCCTTTATTGTGCCCATCTTTGCATGAAATGTTCCCTTGGTATCTCTAATTTTCTTGAACAGATCTCTAGTCTTTCCCATTCTACTGTTTTCCTCTAGTTCTTTGCATTGATCACTTAGGAAGGCTTTTTTCCTCTCCTTGCTAGTTTTTGGAATTCTGCATTCAGATGGATATATCTTTCCTGTTCTCTTTTGCCTTTCATTTTTGTGTGTGTAAATGCATATGCACAGAAAAAAAACAGCAGGCTGAGTGATGACATGGGCCTGGCCACAATGGCCTTCTTGCCTAACCCCAGAAGACCCTGGGACTGGGTGTGTCTTGTGCACCCAGGGGTCTGTCTGCTGTTACCTTCCTGCCCTTGGTTCCTGCACAGACCCCCACAGAGACCCCTCCTCCAGAGGCAGGCCCACTCTGACCTTCCCTCATCTCCCCCAAGAGGGCCCTTTGGTCTGAGCACAGGGCCCTGGTCAGGGATATGAATGTGCAGGAATCCGAGAGCCACTGGGATACAACCTGGGGCCACACGGAGGTGCGGGGAGTGGTGCGAGGGAGAAGCGGCCTCGGTTGGGGGGAGCTCAGTTTCCTTGTGCTCCAATGATTTACTGGATAAGGTCAAGGGAGTGCATGTTCATGGGAGTTTACACACACACACACACACACACACACACACATCACAAGACAAAGACGACCCCAGGGGATCCCTGAGACAGAGGAGCAACCAAATCTGAGCAATGGGTCAAGCAGGAAGGGGTGAGGTTGACAGGAGGACGTAACGGCCTCCTCCCAGCATCCATCCCCTGGAAGGGGCAGACAGGCTTCTGATGCGGAATCAGGACAAGAAGTAATGTCAGTTCAACGACTGGCAGCCAGCTTTGGGGTGGAGGGGCGGGTAAGGATTGGGGTAGAGGGGCTGACGGTTGTGGGGGGTTTCTGACACCTTAGATCAGAACCCTTCAGCATCTGCTCTGAGCTGTCACTCAATGGTTCAGTGCATCAACATTTGTGCAAACATTATCAAGTCTCTTAACCAATGAAAAACCATGACAAGGAACTAAACCACACATGTTAAAGACCAGCCGCAAGAGGGCTTGCCTACAGATAGAGAGAGAAGGTTGGGCATGCTGGGGACAGACGAGCGTGTGCAGGGGCTGAAGACTGTCTAGGAGGGGCAACTCCCAGGAGCAGGTGCAGGAGGCCCTGGAGCCAGACTTGGGGGTGGGCCAGGGAGAGCCAGGCAGGGGCAAGGCTGGTCCTCAGGGCAGGTTCATGTGGGGCCAGGTGCTCCACAGTAAGCAGAAGGGGGTTGGTGGTGGGTAAGAGCCCTCTCCAGAGAAGAGGGATACGAGCTGCTCTCCCAGCGAGGGGCCCTTCCGGCGTGAATACGGGGCGGGGTGGGCTGAGAGGGCTGGCCAAGCGGGAGCCTCTGCCCGCCCAGGGTTCCTTGGGAGAGACCTTTCCTGGATGCTGGAGCAGGAAGGGGCTGGGTCCCTGCCCTGGCAGCTGCCCAGGGGTTGTAAACAGCCTTCCATCGTCTTACTCCGGGCTCTCGGGGCTGCGTCCTCCTAGACAGTGTGCATCATGCCAGGCTGATTATAAAGAGGAGAGGAAAGGATGCAGGAGTCAAAACTCAGAAGGAGAGGAGGGCCTAACTCGTTCCAAATGTTAAAAAGAGACTAAAGAAACTTCAAAATAAAGCAACAAGAAAAAAAAATCCTTTAAACCAATTTAAACAAACAAATGAGAATAAGGAAGTGGAAATGAGCTGGGAGGAGGAGAGGAGGCAAAGGAGAGCGATGGGGGTGAGCGTGAGGCAGGCACGGCGTCACAGGGTGGGACGCCGGTACTTACGTTTACCTCGGTGATGGCTATATCAACAATGCTACCCACAACAATCAAGGCGTCAAATGTGTTCCATGCATCACAGAAATAGTGCTGCATGGGCAGAGGAGCCGAGGGAGGGAGGGAGAGAAAAACCAGCGACAAAGGAAACAAAACAAAAGGAAGAGGAAAATGAAAACAAAACAAAACAAAGCATGAAAGAAAGGAGAGAAGAGAAAAAAATGAGAAAAGAAAGAGGTTATGTGGGCATACTGGACCCCTTACCACTCCACAGTTCTGGAGGTGCATGCCTGCACCTGTTGCTCACGGAGCCTGACAAAAGTGGGTTAGTCGGGGGCCGGGCGGGCATCCGGGAGGAGCGGGAGCCTTTGCCCGGCCCGGCGGAGTGGGGACAGTGGGGGGCTCACGTCCCCCAGGACGGCGGCAGGTGCGAGAGAAAGCATGACTGGAGCGGGTAAAACAGGAAACCAAAAAATAAACCGAAGGAGGTGAAGAGAGAGGGGGGCACGGAGGCGTCCTGGGCAGAGTCATACTCACATTCGTCTCACTGAGAATGACGTCAATTACGCTGCCAATTACGATCAGGAAGTCAAAGACATTCCAGGGGTCACTAAAGTAGCCCTACACGGGGCGGCAGGACGGGAGTGAAAAGGAAGGTTAGACAGACAGGCACAGAGCCCGCAGGGCCGCCGGCGCTGCTGGAGTCCGGGCCCAGGAGGGGCGGCCGGCCCACCCCACACCTGCCTTCCCGGGTGCCCCTCCTCAGACCCTGCCCCTGGCCACCCTTCCTGCGTCCCCAGCACCCCCCAGGCCTCCGACTTGTCCGAGGGCTGCCTGCAGGGACGGAAGTGACACGGGGCAGGGCTCTTGAGGCGTGATCTGGGAATCACAAGCAGCATCGGTGTGGTCCAGGTGGGTGGCCAGGTCCTTGGGCTCCGTGATGACTCAGGCGAAGCTCGAGATGACGAGGGGACCACGTCATCAGAGCAGCATCTACAACCAGGTCACCCTCCTGCCAGCCCCGGACCGGCATTAGCCCTGGATTTGCCTCTGTCCAGAGGCTTTCCTCACTTCAAGGAGACGGAGGCTGGGTTAAGCCCAAAGTCTGGAAGTGTGTGTGTGGGGGGCCTGGACTGCGTCTCTGAAGCCCCTTCCCCAGCATCATCACTGTGACCAGCATCCTGCTGAGACGCCCTGAGAGAACAGGGCTCTCAGAGCCTTTCCTGCAGGCAGGGTGGGGGCCTGGGACAGAGGCCTCTTGGGAGGAGCACACGGGCCATAATGCCTGGTGCCTGGCAGGGAGCAGGGTGCTGAACCCACCCCCTTGTCCTGCACATGTGGATTTTGCCTCTTTTACACTGTATTTGGGGAAGGGAACAGATGCGTGTTTTTGAAACATTTCTGGAAGCATGTGGATGGCTGACTATCTCCATTTCCGTGAGAAGTCCTGGGTGGGCAGACTCTCTGCAAAGACAGGACGGGTCCTCTCGGAGTGGAGGGGTCAGGTAGTGATGCTCCGGGACACACGGATGCACACTCGTGGTTCAGGAGCCGGGGAGCTGGGCGGCCGCTCTCCCGGGGGGTGGAGTGGGGAGGTTCAGTACCAGGGGAACATGTCTACTTTAAAAGAGGACATCTGCCCCTTTGGTCCTTTCAGGGAAGCCCCCACCTCTAAGCGTCTCCCAGGCCCCTCTCCCCAGCCCTCCTGGGGGTGGCCAACTCTCCCTTTGTGTTCCTGACTCTTAGGAGCCAGGCATCTTCTGTTTGCCCATTTCTCCTGGCTCTATCCTGCTCCCCAACCCCTCACTTCCCAGCCGTGCCCCCTTTCAGCTGGATCACAAGACATGCTGTCCAGGCCGTTACTGTCAGTGTGGAGGTCAGGTCACAGGGCCTTCTCAGTTCCCAAGCATTTCTGACCATGTAAGCAGAAATGCCACCTCTGGACAACCGGCAGGGAGTAGAGGTTGGCTTAGGGCATGGGGGAAGTGAGGGTCACTTGGAACCCTGGCCATCTTGTCAGCTTCCTCGAGTGTTTCTCTGAATATCACAGGGCCCCTGGGGCAGAGAGAGACTTGCTCTCCCATTTGAGCTGTGAGCATGAAAGAACCCTTCCTGGGTGCTCAGAGGGCATTTCAGACACATGGGGAGCACTGGTTTTGAGGGCAGGGGACAGAGTGAGGACCCCAAACGAACGACAAATGTGCATCTGTTCAACATAAGTTTTGGAAATCACTGGGGAGCTATCTCCAGGGGGGAAAACGGTTTCAGGAGGGAAGGGGTAGGGGGTTCAGGCAGAGAGAGGATGGAAGCAGGAACCAGAGAAGAGTCCAGGACGTCCTGCATCCAGCCTAGAAAACCCAGCAACAGAGCATTATTGGGGCCAAAGGGAGGAGGAAAGAGGGTGGCGGGCGTCTCGCTCGCAGGGAAGGCTGGAGTCTCCGGTTCACCAGAGGGACCTGGAACAGACAGGTGGGTCACCTGGGTCCGCGGTGCGGCTGAGGGGAGAGACAAGGGAGGAAGGCAGGCAGGAGCGGCGGACAGGAGGTTAACAGCAGGCAAGCACGGGGCAGGAGCCAGGCCCTGGGACCCTGCGACCCGCCCCCACTAAAGCATCGCCCGTCACCCCTGCTCTCTGGTTGCAGAGTGACCAGGCCGCCCCCCTCGGAGGCTCCCTCTGCTCACGCCCTCGCCCTCTGCAGGCTGTGCTGCTGGGGCTTTCGGTGGACCTCTCTGACCTGCGGGTCCAGGGCCTCCACTGGCCGCAGAGCCCACCAGTTCCCGCCCAAAGGAGGTTTACACATGGCCCGAGTGGGGTGGAGGTGACAGGGTTCCTTTAAGATGCCAGCTCCTACTGACCCGTCCACCCCCCATTCTATCAATCTTCCAAGCTGGACCATGGACACAGCTTGATTCAGCTGTCAGCCCCTCCTCCCACCCGTTCCACACCCACCCCAGAAACAGCTGACACCCTCCAGGAGGTCAGTGGTTGCCCGGACACACCTGCCAATCCCCAGGTGGACAGGACCTGTTTGCTGGAAATCTCGGGTGACACAGGTTTGCGGGGTGATGCAGGAAGCAGACTGGGAAAATACCACAGACTTTCAGGAAGTCTGGCTGACTGGAGCCAGGTCACACACCCGTTCTCTTCTTGGTGGAAGTCAGGGTCAGGAAAAGGGTTTCCGGGCTCTCCCTGACCTGGTGAACCAAACCTCTCAAGGTCCAGCTCCTCAGAGCCAGGAAGGGCTGGTCATCGGGGGGATAGAGCTTTGGGCTGGAAGCCTTCTCTAAGCCTGCAGGGTGAGTGGACACCCAGCCTTGGGACGCCTTGGGTGTGTCCCTGGGGTTGATGGGCCAGCATCTGCCAGGAGCTATCTCTTCTCCTGAGTGCACCAACCCTCTGCTTGCTGGCTTATGGACCAAACCAGCCCTGGCTTCAGCCCGTCGTTTCTGGGAAGGAGAGGCTGCCGCCCCAGCATCCCATGATGCACTGCACCTGCGTGAGAATTCGGACTTCTCTCTCGGATCATCTGTGCCCCAATTCACTTCATGCCTGGAGCTGTTCCAAGCTGAAGGAGGCGGTGTAGTGTGTGAGCCCTGGAGGCAGGATGTCTGGGTTCGAGTCCTCTCTCTGCCACTTCCTGGCTGGATGACCCTGAGCAGATGACCGCACCTCTCTGTGCCGAGGTTTCCCCACCTATGGCGACCTTCCAGTGATGGTGGGGGCGAGGTGGGACACAGGTGAGCCCTGCTCCTGCAGGAAGCCCAGTGCATCCAGTGACTGCCAGGGTTGCTGGAGCTAGTCTGCCCCTCCCAGGGAGGCCTGATGCACAGGGTCAGTTTTGGGGGTGGGGCTGGGCATTGGGGAAGGCAGAGCCCAGGACTGTGGGAGGAGGAGAGGGAAGGTGAAGCAACAGAACCCCAAGCTCCTTCAGGGGATCTCATCTTGAATCCTAGTGAGGACTAAGGAGGCAGGATCTAAAATGCAGGGGGAGACGGTGTGTGCTTGACCAGGGAAGGGAGACCAGTTGAGTCAGAGCTCAGCTAGACTGAGCCTGGGAGGCGGTGCCCCTGGTCCTGGAAGCTCTGGTCTTTCCTGGGCTCCAGGTCGTGGGTCTGGGAGATGGGGGGTGGGTGCAGCTGGCAGCCGAGTGTCACACTGGGAACTGCCGCCTTGCAGAGATAATGTCAACTGTACGCGGCATCACGATGTCCTCAGACATCACAGTGATCGGGGGCTGCTGGTGTCGAGTGGGTGGTCTGGCTGGCACACAGCTGCTCCCCCTCCTGCTTCCCACCTCCCTGCCAGCTCTACCCTGTGACCTGCCCTTCAAGAGGCTGGCGCCTCCCAGCACAGACAGCATGGGATAGAGGTGGGGCAGAGGGCAGCAGGAGGCAGGTGAAACCCAGGGTGGGTGGTGGTGACCCTCCAAGTTGTTCGAGGAATGCACACTTTGGACATCTGCTCTGGTTTTTCTTTGGAGTTGAGCTTTTCCTCCTCAGCAAAGTTTCAAAGGCCTTCACTCACTCATCTCACCGACATGTGATGAGTGCTCCGGGCACCTGGAGGTGAACTTGGTGTGGGCAGAGTACAAGCACCCACAGCCTCCCCTGATGGTATGGGATGGGATGGGAAGCAGCTGGGCTCCTTTGGGGTCTTGGGAGAGTCTTCCCCTGCCCTGTTGGCACTTGGCTCCACAGCAGGACTCCACTGCAGAACCACCCAGGATGAGGGTTTGAGGGGACCTGCCCGAATCTGGGGCTTTTCAGGTGGTGCTAGTGGTAAAGAATCCACCTGCCAATGCAGGAGTTGCAAGAGACTCAGATTTGATCCCTGGGCTTGGAAGATCCCCTGGAGGAGTGTATGGCAACCCACTTTAGTATTCAAGCTTGGAAAATTTCACGGACAAAGGAGCCTGGCGGGCTACAGTCCGTAGGGTCACAAAGACTCAGACACAACTGAAGCGAGTTGGCACACACACATTCCTAGCTATTGGATATTTTTCAGTGCTTATCATCAAGTGTATCTTAAAAGTTTTCTTCTGTCTTTGCTGATAAATTTCCATTCATAAGAGGACACTCCAGCTACTTGAACTCAATGAACTTCAATGAAGCTCAATGAACTTCAGATCTTTCTAACCAAAGCCTTTTCATGCTGACCAGTTCAGTCCTGCACAGTCTCAAAGGGCCCAGGGACCACTGGGAATGTCCAAGGCAGTTCTCCTGCTTGGGGGAGAAATCCCCTGGCCACTCGGTGTTCAGGACACACCTGTCACCTGTCCCACTCTTCAGACAGACAGGGAAGAGATCTACTTGAATTGACTTAATTTCTTAAAGTGGTGAGCAGAACAGATGAAAATGAAGACCAGAAACATCAGTTGCCACGAGGACACGGAAAGAACAAGGCCAGACTACAAATCGACCCACTGACCAACCAACCACAGAGACCAAGCGATGGGGAAGGAAGCCCAGCAGGCCAGCCTCAGACGCCCCCGCATCCCTGTTTTCTGACCGCCCTTCCTCAGCTGACGCTCACGGGTACAGACACGCAACACAGACATGCGGTCACGTTAGGAGCCCGGGTTGTGGGGTGGAGCCAGCTCAGTATTTCCATCAGAGCTGCAGACACTTTCCGGTTTGGTTTTCTGCCTGGAAATGTTGGCGATGCTTCCGGAATCTGTTCCTTAATGAGCGATTCCCAGGTGGAGCAGTGGTAAAGAAAGCACCTGCCCGTGCAGGAGACGCAGATTTGATCCCTGGGTTAGGAAAATCCCCTGGAGAAGGAAATGGCAACCCACCCCAGTATTCCTGCCTGGGAAATCCTATGGATGGAGGAACCTGGCAGGCTACAGGCCATGGAGTTGCAAACAGTTGGGCATGACTGAGCGACTAACACTTTGACTTTTTCCCTTTCTCTTTAAGCACAGACAGACCCTTCTGCGTGTGAAATGCAGATGCCCAATGTGGTTGTCTTACTTCTTTGGAAACGTTGCTCTGATTTTACCCTATCTTCTCACGACAGAAAGGAAGATGTACAGGAGGGCACTTTATGGTTCTGAGCACCCTAACTGGCTACTTCCCAGGTAACTGGCTTGTTCCTGGGTCTGCAGGATTCAGGGACAGTGTTCTCCGGGCTTAGGCCCATGCAGTGTCACCGCCACTCGCTCCTTAAGGCAGGTCTGTCTTGTACATCCCCTCAGCCCTGAAGCCGGACTCAGGAAGACCCCACAGGACTGTGCAGCATCACCTGACATTGTCAGAAACACGTCTGACTCAACGCAGAGTGACTCAGGCCTTTGAACTATTTAACCCACACATCTCATGAGACTGGAGAAGACCATGCCAGTTCCCTCCTGGAAGCTGTCATCTGAGTTGGAGGCTCAGCCCAGCGATGGCCCGGCCCACCAGCCTCCCTGGGGTGTGCTGCTGTGGGCTCTGAGCCCGCCGGCCCCCTGGCCATGTGGCTTGGGACAGGGTCCCACAGAAGATGCCAGGGACATTCCGTGGTCTTCTCTGCCCCTAAATGGGACTGGGCTTGGAAGGTAAAGTAAAAAGAGCCTATTTGCTGCCCTGGAGGAGGTGGGAAAGCACCATGATTATCACCAAAGGACATTCATTAGGGTCTCATTCTGTGCATTCAGCCTGGGTTCCATACTCTGGACTCTCAGTTCCCTCTGGCAAGGGAGGCTTGGTGCAGTAAGAACACGGGCTTTCTTGTCTTTGAAGCCCCTCAAGGGGTTCCTTCCTTCTGCAAAGTCCTCAGCAGAACACATGGTGCAAGAAGATGCTTGCTAACAGCTTGGTGTGGAGGGAATTACATCGACTACAAAGTCAGACACGCCGGATTCTATTCCCAGTCCTGCCACTTAATAATGGTGTAATTAACACAACACTTAATTGCTCTGAGTTCCACTCCCCTCTTCTCTAAGATGAGGAGATAATACCTATCTCAGAGAGGTGTCTTGAGGATTCCATGCAACGAGGTGTGTGCAGCACCGCAGGTTACTGACAAATGTTGGTGGAACATTAATTCAGAGAAGACAACGAAGATCCTGTCACTAAACAGGGATCCGACCGACAGCCCCGGGGCATGCCTCCTGGCCCCACAAGTTCTGCAGCAGGTGAGCATCTGAATGGAAGTGAAATACAGGGCCAGGGATGTGCAGTCCCTGCACCCCGGCCCCCGCACTGCCCTGGTTGACCTGTGTTGTATCTAGAAAAACCAGTAAAAGTGGGGACAAGAAGGTTCGGAAACCTGTCCTGCGTTACCCTCTTAGATCCCTTCTCACTGCCCCCTCTCTCCAAAGCTGTGTAGTAGCTGGAAGCCCCTGAGCCCCCAGGACACCCCATCTAGGGCAGCTGTGAAGCCCAGGCAGTGGACATGGTGACGCTGAGCTGTCTACAGAGAGAGAGATGGGAGCTGCTCAAACCCAGTCACCTTGCGTCCTTGAGGCTGTGTGTGTGTGTGTGTGTGTGTGTGTGTGTGTGTGTGTGTGTGTGTGTTAGAGANGGGGGGGGGGGGGTCCAGTCAGTGGCAAAGGACACAGATGATCCAAGAAGCAGGGGCCAACCCGCCCTGTCCTGCCTCACTCAGCTCTGATCTCTCCCAATGTTTTTTCTAAAAGCTGCCTATAGGTAGCTGCGCAGACATTTGTAGGTCTGTCCTGTGCTGGAAGGTATGGGCAGTGACTGCAGCCCTGAGGTGGGGAACCAGAGGTCCCCCGGATGCACTAACGCCCAGCCCTGAGCAAACGCGGCCCTGCCTGACCCCTGCAGCAAGGCTCTTAGTCTGTGCAGCGTGCAGTGCCCGCGTGAGAACAGACCCTGGGTGGGTCTGAGGGGGCTGGGCCTGGTGAGGTTTGGTTTCCAGTCTCTTCTAGACGATGTGCTGGGCAAGGGCGACTCTGACTCCCGCAGAAGCAGGCTGGCTCAGGCCCGTCCTTGCTCCCCGTGTCCAGACCTCAGGTCAGTCTAGGGACTGAGAGTTTGCTTCAAGGAGCTGGCCTGGCGCGAGCCCTGAAGGCTCCTGGGCTGCAGTGGTCATTACCAGGAGGATCCAGTCCCTGGCCAAGACTGCCCCCCACCGACCCAAGCCCGCCCCTGGCGCTGTGGACCAAAGGTCCGTCCCAGAGGGCCTACCTTGGGCTTGAAGGCGATGAGCTTCAGGACCATCTCCACCGTGAAAAGGCCAGTGAAGAGCATGTTGAGAATGTTCATGGCGATTTTGAACAGACAGCTCTGACCGTAGTGCTGGGGGTGGGGGGTGGGGGTGGAGGCGCTGTGAAATGAGGCGGGGGCTCCCTGCTCCCAGCCATGCCCTCAAAAGAGACCTTCCTGAACCCAGCCCCGGGGCCGGCCACACCTGCGGGAGCCAGGTGGGCTCAAGAAGCCCTGCGGGTCCTTCCCCTCTCTGTCGTTGCTGCAAACGCAGGCGGGCACAGCCTGGGCCCTGCTCTCATCGGGGTCAGCTCTGCGTGGCCTCCTGGCCTCAGGTGGGCTCCGCACAGCTGGCATCATGGATGATCAACGCCATTGCAAGGTCACCTGTGCTCCACCGCCCTCTATCTCACAGCCCAGGGTCCTGGCATTCTGACCCCTCGGGAAGGTGCCCCTCCTGCCCCACTCGGCCAGTGAAATGGCAACACCTCCCATCCTCATTCTGCCCCCCACCCTGCCCCGACCCAGGCACCCGGGCTGGCCCGCGGAACTGACCTGCATGGCCAGGCAGATGGTGTTGAGCAGAATGAGGACGAACATCAGGTACTCGAAGTAGGTGGAGTTGACCACGTACCACACCTTGTACTGGTGCTGGTTTTTTGGAATGTACCTCCGCAGGGGCCGGGCCTTGAGGGCGTACTCCACACACTGCCGCTAGGGTAGACGGGAGGGGTTAGTAACCCGGATGATGGGGGTACTCCACGCACTGCTGCTAGGGTAGACGGGAGGGGTTAGTAATCCGGATGATGGGGGTACTCCACGCACTGCCGCTAGGGTAGACGGGAGGGGTTAGTAACCCGGATGATGGGGGTACTCCATGCACTGCCGCTAGGGTAGACGGGAGGGGTTAGTAACCCGGATGATGGGGGTACTCCACGCACTGCCGCTAGGGTAGATGGGAGCGGTTTCACAGTTTGAATCAGCTATTACTTGGACGTTTTTTGAGGTTCTATCATTCCCCTAAGGGGGGAGAATCCTCTCTGGTTGGTCCCCATCAGGATGTAGTTGAGGGGGACCTGTCTCCTTCCTTCCCTCTCGGGGATGGTTGGTAAATGCTTGCTGACTGACTGACAGTCCGTCTTCTCAGATATTTCCAGCCATAGACTCTCTTGGAGGCCCGTGTTTCCGAGATTCTCCTTTCCCATCCTGAGTCAGTTGTCTTAGCTACCAGTGTCCACAGACCAGAAGTCACAGCTCGCAGCCAAGGGGTGGGATCCTGGGTTGACTAGACTCTGGTTACCTCTGCGCTGTGCCCGGACCCCAGGTCAGGACGGGGCTCACCCAAGCCCTCGTCTCTCCTCCTGCCTCCACTTCCAGCCTCTAAACCCGACCAGTCTATTTGCTCCGTCTCTACTGTCATCAACCTGGTAATACATAAGGGTCTAAGCACCGCTCCTCTACACTAACTGGCTTCCCTCTTCCCTGGCTTCCTTACCATGCGAAGTCCACACAGCAGCCAGAATGGTGAGTCTAGAGCCAAGGTGTGGACCAGGGGCCCAGAGAACCTGACAGGGACTTGGGGGGAGTTCCTTTCCTAAGCAGAGCTCAGGTTCTCCGAAGAAGGGGTGCTTTCACAGGCTTCAGCCTCCTGACCACCTGGCCTCTCACCCTCTGGGGGGTGGGGGCTACCTGGTTCTTGTCCAGCTCGCAGTTCTTGTACTCTTGCTCCCCCTGCTCCTGGAAGGTGACAATGACGAAACCCACGAAGATGTTCATCATGAAGAAGGCAATGATGATGATGTAGATGATGAAGAAGACGGAGATCTCCACGCGGTAGTTGTATATGGGACCCTTGTCCTCTGTGTGAGAGTCGATGGACCGGTACAGCAACCTGGAGGAAGGGAGACAGGCCCGCACAGGGCCAGGGAGCTGGTTCAAGCCCCAGTTCTGTCTCTTACTACTGTGTGGCTCGGGCAAATCATTCAACCTCTCTGAGCATCAGATTCCTTATCTGCAAAGTGTGAACAGTAGTTCCAGATTTTCCTACCTGGCAGGACAGCTGATATAATGAATATGAAGGTGTTTTGAAACTGGTAAGAACTGTCTAATGTAATGCGAGTCATGGGCATTGATCTAAAAAGCTGGAGATATTGGTAAATATTAATACAGCTTTGTTGTTTCTCAGCAGAGACTTGGAGAATGTTGCAGTGAACATAAGATCAATCTGAGGACAGATATTCATTTAGACAAAAGCACTCAATATAAATGCCCAGGCTCGCTCAGATCATCAGCAGTGGTTTGGTTTACACTCAGGTAGCCTGTGTCTGGGCTTCCCAGGTGGCGCTAGTGGTAAAGAACCTGCCTGCCAATGCAGGAGATGTAAGAGACTTGGGTTCGATCCCTTGGTTGGGAAGGTCCCCTGGAGAAGAGAATACACCAGTGTTCTTGCCGGGAGAATCCCATTGACAGAGGAGCTTGGTGGGTTACAGTCCATAGGGTCTCAAAGAGTTGGACACGACTGAAGTGACTTATCACGCATGGCCTTCAGCTTGTTCTAGAAACACCCTCACCAGCTAGGGAGGATGGAGGTAAATATGGTTTCTGAAAGGAGTGTGGACACCAGTGAGACAGGCCAGGGTCTGCGTACTTACTCTGGCCATCCCTCGAAGGTGGAGACGGTGAACAGGGCCATCATGGCGGCCAGGACATTGTCGAAGTCGAACTTGCTGTTCTCCCAGCTGCGGGGCTGAATGATGGGGTGGTCCACCTCCCCATCCTTGTACGTGATGTAGTTCCCCCTGCGGAAGGGAGACGGTTCATTCTGGGGTCTCCCATCTCCCAACCACCTGTGACTCCTGGCTTGGGGGCAGGATGGGATGGCTGAGCTTAAACCCACAGTTCTGGCCACTGAGCAGACCTCAGGGATAGATGATCTCATGTGCTATGTCAACAGGACCAGACAACCCATGGGTAAATTCCAGCTGCCACTGCTGCTGGAGGCAGAACGGGGTACCCCTTCTCTCAGGACAGGCCTCACCCACCCAGAGTCAGCTGGTCTGACTGTCCCCGCCGCACTCACTTGCATTCAGCTTCTGTCTGTTTGGAACTGTCCGAACAGGTGTAGAGCTTGCCCTGGAAGGCGGAAGAGCACAGTGATGGAGAGGTTTCTGAATCGAGGAGTCGGTCAAAAACTGTCTAGTGATTATATCTGCAGCCGGCTCTGTGCTGGAGTCTTGGGAGAGAAGAGTGAGGAGAGCAGAGCCCAGACAGAAAACGCGCCGTGCTGCGGGGACCCCATCACAGGGAACCCAGGGGTGAAGCAGAGCTCGGGAGGCGGGTCTGGTGAGGGAGGAGGATGGCTGGACTTAGGTTGAAAACTTGGTGGGGAAAGCGGGGCCCGTGTGCACGGTGGGGGCAGAGCTTCAGGTGGAGAAGAGCAGAGAGAGAAGGACTGGGGCAGGAAAGGGAGGACCAGGGACACGGCCTCACCGAGGGCCTGCCAGACACAGGGCGAGAACCTGGCAAACCACGGCTCTGCAGCCAGCTGGGTGGGGGACTCATGCCGCTGGTCACAGGGAGCCCCGCAGGTCTAGGTGGGTGACCACACAGCGGGGTCAGGGATGACAGCCCCCCTGCCTTCCTCCAGAAGGGAGGGCAGGGCTGAGGGCCGCCACGCTCGGAGGGCCGGGTGGTGGTGGAGCGGCACTGCCTACACACTGGCCTCCTCCGGGCTGCGAACTAGCCTTGCTCTGGACCGGGAACTAGCTAGTACCACTCTGGTCTGGGAGCTAGTTAGTCCTCCCCTGGGCTGGGAACTAGCCCTGCTCTGGTCTGGAACTCGTTAGTACCACTCTGGTCTGGGAACTAGTTAGTCCTGCTCTGGTCTGGGAACTAGTTGGTCCTCCTCCGGGCTGGGAACTAGCCCTGCTCTGGTCTGGAACTAGTAAGTCCTCCTCCAGGCTGGGAACTAGTCCTCCTCCGGGCTGGGAACTAGCCCTGCTCTGGTCTGGGAACTAGTTAGTCCTCCTCCGGGCTGGGAACTAGGCCTCCTCCAGGCTGGGAACTAGTCTTCCTCTGGGCTGGGAACTAGTTAGTCCTCTGAGCTGGAAACTAGTCCTCTTCTGGGCTGGGAACTAGTTAGTCCTGCTCTGGTCTGGGAACTAGCCCTTCTCCAGTCTGGCAACTAGTGTTCCTCCAGGCTGAGAATTAGTCCTTCTCTGGTCTGAGAACTAGTTAGTCCTTCTCTGGTTTGGCAAGTAGTTAGTCCTCTTCATGTCTGAGAACTAGTACTTCTCTGGTCTGGGAATTAGTTAGTCTTCCTTGAGTCTGGGAACTAGTTAATCTTCCTCGGGTTTGGGAACTAGTTCTTTTCTGGTCTGAAAACTTGCTAGTCCTCCTCGGGTTTGGGAACTACTTAGTCTTCTCTGGGTCTGGGAGCTAGTTAGTCCTCATGGGATCTGGGAACTAGTCCCCCTTGTATCTGGGAACTAGTTAGTTTTCCTTGGGTTTGGGAACCAGTTAGCCTTTGGGTCTGGAAGCTAGTTAGTCTTCCTGGGATCTGGGGACTAGTTAGTCCTCCTCAGGTCTGGAAACTAGTTCTGCTCTGGTCTGGGAACTAGTTAGTCCTCCTTGGGTCTGAAAGACAGGAGGGGCGGTGGAGCAGCCTCGTCCCTCCCCAGGGATCCCCACCGGGTCCCCCGTGGCTGCTCCCATCCGTGTCCCTGGGAGCTGACAGGTGAGAAGAACAGGGGGCTGCAGATCTGGCTGAGACCCCACCTTGAAGAGCTGGACCCCAATGCAGGCGAACATGAACTGGAGCAGCGTGGTGACGATCACAATGTTCCCGATGGTGCGGATGGCCACGAACACACACTGCACGACGTGCTGTGGGGGCGAGGCAGAGGGGTCAGGGCCTGGCCTTGGTTGAGTTCCCCCATGTCACGGCCCTCTGTGAGGGGGCAGGGCAGCCCTTCACTATGGGCTGGGGGTGGTGGGGATCAGACTCAAAGGGGCAAAGCGTGCTCCCAGCTCACAGGGTGATGGAGACTGGGGGGCCCATATCCTGCTGGGTGACCCGGGGACCAAAGCCCCGCTAACACCCCATACTCTGGGGCAGCGATTCAGGGGCCTCATCACTGCACAGGGCCCAAGGTTGTATGTGGTCTCCTTCTGCAAAAGCTTTGCTGAGAAGCTGGGATTGTGAACAGCGGCCTCTACTGGGGCTACGTGCATCTCGGAACCAGAACATGAAGTGGTGCTGAGGTGCTGGTAGGAGGGTCCTGGTTCCAACCCAGAGGGCCTGCCATTGTCCCCGCCTCCTGTCCACCCATCACCTCATACGGACCCCTGGCTGAAGCTTGCTGGGCTGGGGGCCCCTGCTCAGGCCTGGTCGACTCACCTTCAGCCCCTTGGCCCTGTTGATGGCCCTCAGTGGCCGGAGCACCCTCAGGACTCGCAGGATCTTCACCACGTTGATGGCACTGGACCTGGGGGAATGGATGGTGGGGTGAACCACTCCTGTTCCTGGGCCCGCAGGAGAGAGGGGAGAGCATGGGAGTCCTGGAGAAAGTCTCCCACCTGCAGGGACCTGGAGCTATCCTGGGAGCCAGGGACTTGGTGAGCAAATCACGGGAAAAGAATTTACCACTTGTTAGCATTACAATGTGCTGCTCTGGGGCATTTACCCAGCCAAGGGGATGTAGAGAGGCAGAGCTCCACCAGACTCTGGCCACGGAGGATACACTTCCTAACTGTTCTGAGCCCCGGTTTCTTTATCTGTAAAACGGGGCAGTGATCACCTCATGAGCTTGTTGCAAGGATCAAAAGAGAAAATGCACATGAACCGTTTGGCATCCCATGCAGTGCCTGTTTTTCATATCATGGACTTGAAGAAATACTGTATGAATGGCAGGGCTTCGGCGGGGGAGGCACCTGGTCCCCACCTCCAAGCCTGGTCCCCGGTGGCAGCCCACCACATCCCTTTGTGCATAGGACATTCAGGCCTGGAGGAACGGCTCTGACAACACAGACTCTGCACACCTGGGGCGCCAGGGCCAGGCCCCCTCCCCAGGGGAGGACAGGCCACGGTCGTCCTCCAGGGGCATACGGGGCCTCGCCCTGGGGGATGGGGGTCGCTCTGAAGTGTCCCCCACCCTCGCCTGCTAGTTACCTTCCAAAGGTCTCTAGCCTCCTTGGGCCCACAGCCGCCAGGGAGGCCCTGCCCTGGTCCCAGCGCCCTCACGCTGCATAAACACAGGCAGGCCTCTCCCTCTCCGACCCTCTCCCTTGCCCCGTGCCTCTCCCAGGCCCTCGGGCCCCACTCACTGGATGCCGAAGGAGATGAGGGACACGCTGACCACCAGCAGGTCCAGGATGTTGAAGTAGTTGCGGCAAAAGGAGCCCTTGTGCAGGAAGGCCCCGTAGGCTGTCATCTGGGGGTGCAGGGATCGGGGTGTGAGCAGTTTCTGGGCTCCAAAGACCCTTCACCCCACCCTTCCCTCCCACAGCACTCCCAGAAGGGCCCAGATGAAGAACCAGGAGGTGATGGAGGGCTGAGGCTGGTAGGACAGGAGGAGACGCTTTGCCTGGAAAGTGTCCGCTGCCAGTGATGCAAAGCCCAGAGGCTCATGCCCAGGACATGCCCGCCACCTTCAGTCCTGTATCTGCAGCCCTTTCAAGGGCTCCCGCCCCTCATCACGTTTCTGTGACAACAGAAGGGCCCCCGCCCCTTGTCACGTTTCTGTGACAACAGCCCCGTGAGGCCCCTTGCCGATGCTCCCTGAGCCGAGCTCCGTGTTCTTGGGGTCCCATGCCTCTCCAAACTCTCCACCTCAGGGCCCCCAGGACATGGGCATCTGGGGGAGATGGGGGCTCGCCCAGTCGAGGACCAGCTCCTTGGCTTCCCAGAACTTCCCTGGTTGAGCACCAGGTAACCCCTCAGGCTCGGGCAAGCTCTATTTTTTTCTCACTGTTACCAGGAATGCTGGCGACCAGCATCTATCCCTTCCCGGGCCTCACAAGTGCTGCTGGTCTGCGCCCAGGATTTGAGCTCCACTCCACCATCCGGTTCTGGAGCTGTGTGTCCAGAGGGGCTGTGGGCACTGCCGTGTGAGCACAGCTCTGGAGCCTGGCCTCCTGAGTTCAAATCCCACCCGCCATGCTCTGAGTGCCTGGAGTTGGTTAGTCAACTTCCCTGTGTTTCGTCAGAGAAACGAGGTGATGACAACCTCTTCCCTGGAGGGTTGTAAGTGCCCTTGGGAGTTATAGTAAAGCCCTTTAGACATAATCCTGCAGATGTCAAGCTCTGCAGGGGAGCTTCACTACAGAGGACTGGACTCAGCAGAGAGCTACGACAGGAACTCTGGGTTCGTCCTGTGATAAGGGTGCTCAGAGTTCCCCTCTGTAGAGGCAGCTACAGAACCATGCAAAAGCCCCTTGCAGATTAGGAAGGGACCACTTTGGGGGTGATGACTGTCATGGGTTTGCTGTCCCCCACCTTCCTCAGAGCCCTGTCCTTGCTCTAGGAACTCCTGTCCAGTCTCGTTGACATGAACTAAGGGCCAGTGGATTTCCAGGTGAAGAGCTGAAAGGCCATGACCATGAACGACAGCCAGAGGGGAAAATCTGGAGCTGATGGCTTAGAGCCTGGGAGCAGCTCCCCAGTTGCCTGGAAGCCCAATTTATTTCTTTGGAATCAGAGCATGCCCAGGGCAGCTTGTTCACAGAGTGATTCAAAAGTAAACACAGGGGAAATGGGCAAAAATAGCTCTTGCAACCTAATTCTTCCCACTGATCTCCTGCAGGAGGGGGTCACAGGGGACTCAGACACCTGTGTCCTGCAACAGTTTGCAGAAGTGGGTAGATTATATAAAAGATTGCAGGGGAATTCAGCTGGAGATGTGTCCCAAAGGCCTGTAATCTTGGGGTGGGGGGCTTCCTTGTCTCTCAGTGTAGGTCTGGGCCCCCGAGAGCAGACGGGGTGGCTCCATGGTTCACGTTAACTGAGAGGCTCTGAGCCCAGAAGGCTGGCTTGTGGGTGTGTCTGTGCAGGGCGGCTGCCCAGGCAGGGCCAGAGGAAGAGTGGCCACAGGAGAAAGGGCAAGTGGACACTGGAAAAATGGGGCATTTACTTGAGAGTTCACTGTGGGGTCCAATAAAGGGCCCCCTCTACCCTGCCTGCTGACTGCCACACACTCCTGCTCCCGAAGTCCTAACCTTTACCCAGAAAAAGCCTTGCTGGGGAGAGAAAAGGATCAAACTCTGAGCTGGGAGTGCAGGATGCCCCTCCGTCCAGCCAGCACCTCTCCAGGCAGCAATATTGCTCATTAAACACATCTTATCTTTTGTAATTTCTGCTTGTGGGTCCTGGGTCCATCTCCCTCCTCTCGGTGACAGATCTAGGCATCATTCAGTCCAACTGTCTTGGCCTCAGAAGGCTAAACATGCCCAGACCTTTCAGCTGTCTCTGACCCTGGACACCTCTCCTGCACGGCAGTCACCTCTGTCAGGCAGGATGCTGGGCCTGCAGGTGAGGCAGAGGGACCCTGGGAGAGGAGGTGCAGGCAGTGTTCTGGGGCCAGGCTCGACCTAGAGCACAGTCAGCGTAAAAGTGGGCAGAAGAAGGAGCAGGTGGGCGGGACGGAGGACCTCCCAGGAGCTGGCAACCTTGGAGGAAGAGGCGCTCTGGGGAGGGTCTGAGACTCAGGAGAGCCTGGTGTTTGGGTGCCTCCCTGGGCCTGGAGTCCAGGGAAGGGTCTCCACATAGCCGGGCAGCCTGGTCCCTCTCCCTACCCCCGGGGGTCAGAGAGAAAACCTGAGGAACACTTCTGGTTTCCTCTTGTTAATGCCCGGTTAGCTGGAACCAGAGGGTCTGGACACAGAAGGCACGAGAAAGTGTCCGCTCAGGCTGAAGCTGGACGTGACAGGCTGTCCCCACCCATAGGAGCCCAGGAAGGAGAGTCTGGGGCTTCGTGTGCAGGGTGGGAGGAGCCTGGAGCCTGCGGGAGGGTGCCCGGGGTGGTCTCCCGGTGGGAAGCACTGTGCAGAGGCAGCTTGCTGACTGCGGTCAGGGTGAGCCCCAGGCTCTGAGACCGAAGAGTGGGCAATACACACTCCCCTGACTTGGAACTTGCCCCCGAGGCTCAGGTGACCTGCAGAGCTTGGAAATCTAACAGAGTGGATGTAAGTAATATATTGTGCTGTGCTAAGTCACTCAGTCATGTCTGACTCTTTGCGACCCCAAGGAGCCTGTAGCCAGGCTCCTCTGTCCATGGGATTCTCCAGCAAGAATCTTGGAGTGGGTAGCCATTCCCTTCTCCAGGTATCTTCCCAATCCAGGGGTTGAACCCGTGTCTCTTACATCTCTTGCATTATGGCAGGCGGGTTCTTTACCACCAGTGCCACCTGGGGAGCCCCACTGATTGTATATTAATGGAAACAATAATAAAGCTTGGGGCAAACCCCTGTCATCCTGAGGCTGCTCAGAGGCAGGCTCTACTGTGTTGGGGTCAAAAGATGGGAGTGTGTGTGACTCTTAGCCCCGCACTGAGCCTTGGAGGACATGGCCGCCTCCTCCAGGCCTGGGCAGGGATGAGGGGGCAAGCTTTGGCGGGGGTGTAGTCCAGGGGTCAGAGGTGTGTGCAGGGGTCTGTCCAGAGTCCTCAGTTGGAACACTGGCATTGGCCTGTGTTGACAAAGGGCATCCCGAGGGCACAGGCAGGGGGCCTCTTGATGCCCTGGGCTTTGCCATTTTCTGACTCTTGTCCTTCGTGTGGCATTCCCTCTGGGCAGGATAGGGGGAGGGTTCCTGCCGGGGTCAGGCGTGGCTCGCAGAGGTGGGGGGGGGGAAGGCGGTGGTGGGGAGTGCCTGGTATCAGCCAGCATCAGTGCCCAAACTGCACAGGCACAAAGTCAGGGGTCCCAGTTTCTCCAGCTTCAGGCTTGAGAGTAAAACCAGAGTGAAAGAAACCAGAGAGAAGAGGCAATGCAGAGAGAGGAGGCAAAGGCCTTGCTGCGTGCATTACCTTGAGGATAATTTCTAAGGTAAAGATACTAGTGAAGACATAGTCTGCGTTGCCTAGGATCTGAAAGACAAGCACAGCGGATTAGTGGCTCCGAGTGACGGACAGCAGCAGAGTGTGCATTAGCGACAGCAGCAGAGCCAGTGGGGAAGGACAGGAGAGGAGCAGAGGGCAGGGTTACCTTCAGGGCAATCTCAATGGTGAAAATGGTAGTGAAAACAATGTCAAAATAAAACAGAATCTGCAAAACAAAGAGAAACAGGGTGGGGATGGGGGAATGGAGCAACAGGATGGGAGCAGGGTCGCCAGCAGGGAGTCGCACCCCAAATCATGCAGTCTTTCCAAGGGAGACCAGAGGCATCAACACAGCCCAGGGTCCTGAAGGCCCCAGATCTGTGAATGGGCTCCCAGAGCCGACTCAGCGGGTCCTGGGTCCGGTTGGGTGCTTTTCTCATTAATTCAATTTACTTACAAACCAAAATCAGACCATGGGATACGTGTCTCAAAGACAGAGTGGGGTTTGCTTTCTTTGCACAAACATGCAAATTGCTTAATTCACGTCAGGGGATGAGCCAGTCTCTCACGTTCTGCGACCCTACTCTGGCTGTGCCCCTCAGGGTGTGGCGGGCACACCCCTGGTAGGGGACAGGCTCGGGATTCACGCTTCACTCTGTCTCAGGTAATGGGTCAGAGTGAGGGCCTTCCCAGGAAGAAGGCTGTGGGTCACCTGGGCTGCAGGACCACCGACTGGCTCGCAGGGGTCTGGCTTTAAGGTGGTGGACTCCTCGCTTCACGTCCGCCTGGTTAGGATCTGACATTGTTTCAAGGCTTTGGGATATGGCAGGTCCTATTCTGGTCTTTGATTGTAATTCACCAGAGCCTGAGGCAAGCTCCAAATTCAATTTCAACTCTGCAGAGGGTCAGTGAGGTCCTCCTTATGCGGGCGGTCTCATCAGAGTGCCATCTGCCACTGATCCCCAGGGACAGGATGGGACAGTTCCCGGGAGGCGAAGCCCCTGGGGAGCATCTGTGGGCAGTGGGGTCTGACGTCGGGGTCAGGCCGACCTGAGCTAAGGGTCCTAAGATGGGTTTGCACCAAAGCTGTCATCTCTTAGGGAGATGTCTGCTGTGCCTCTGACCGTGAGATTCGGGGCAGGCTCTGGATTGAAGGACAGGGTCAGGCAGCCAGGGGGGTCACGTCGCGGGGGCAGGGTGCGGGGTGCGGGGGACGAGGTGCGTACGTGGTTCCTGAAGGAGGTGTGCTGCACGGGGTCCTCGGCGGCCAGGGCGGCGCTGCTGAGCAGGATGAAGAAGAGGATCAGGTTGGTGAAGATGGAGTCATTGACGATACGATGGCACTGGAGGCGGAACCTGCGGGGGCAGGGGGAGGGGGGCTGTCACACGGGGTGGGGTCTCTGCTCCTTCTTGGTGTGCAAACCGTGTGCAGACGGGCGGGGCGTGGGCCCTTCAGCCCGAGCCATCCCGCCACAGGGGAGACACAGCCCCGCACTCGGCCCCACTGTGCCCCCCACCACGGGGCCTCGGGGTTATGTCCGACCCTTCAGGAACCTCTGCATCTTCATGTACTGCTGTGACATCATTCACGAGCTTTCGTCTGGGGACTCGGCTCCCCATCATTAAAAATACTGACTTCATAAGATCTACCTCACTTGTGTCCGTACGGGGAGCAGCAGAGCCACCCAGAGCATGGATGATGCCAGGCTGGTTAAGTCCAGACTCCGAAGAGATTGGCTGCCACAGCAGTAATTCAATCCTGAACCTCAGCGCAGTTACAGAGGCCAACAGCCCTGACCCCGGGGGCGCTCACAGTGGATCCTCGGATGCCAAAGGTGTCTTATGTGCTGTCTCCTCTTGATGGGGTACTATTTCATCTTACAGATGAAAACATGGAAGCCTGGAAGGATAGTCTTGCCCACTTCGGAGTGTGTGTTTGTGTGGGGAGGGGCGTGGGGTGGCTCAGGGCTTGAACCGGGCCTTCAGACCTCTGCTTCTGGTGTTGGTTGACTAAATCCCCTGAGAGACCTTCCTGATGTGGAAGCACCAAATCCTGGAAAGGACGAGCTCTCCAAGACCATTCTGGTTTCATGAGAGCTAGGAAAGTCTGCAGTGATCCCCTCCTCCCTCAAGCCAATCCGCTGAGCTGGGGTCTGCTGGACATGCCCGGGCTGGGCAGAGGTGCCTGAGGACAGAGGCCAGTGGCAGCACCTCTGTGAGGAATCTTTAAGCCAGCTCGAGGTGGGGCAGAGGACCGGGGACCCCTAGGCTGAGCCACGCACACATCTGGAAGAAAGCTTCTCAGTCCTTCTTCAGGTCCCCGGGAATCTCCCCAATTAAGACGGAGTATTGAGGTCACAAAGATCACTGAACACTCAAGAAAATAAGCCACTAAGTTGGCAACTCAGAAGAAACTCAAATAAATGATTTAGACCTCTCCCCAGAGACTCTGTATACTGGAAATATTAGATACCGATGATAGAACAACTGTATTTGAAATATTTAATGGGATAAAAGACTTGACCACACAGATGACGAATTAACAAGAAACTCAGATGTAGATGGATCTGGAAAACAAAGCAATACTTGGAACTGTCTGACATGAAAAAATATATAACCTGATATAAAAACTGGTTTACACAGTAACATAGATAGGATTGAAGAGAGAATTAAGAATTTGGGAGATATGTCCAAAGAATGACCCAGAATTTGAACCGAGAGACTAGGAGATGAAAGTTATGAAGACATGCACGCGTGAGAGGGGAAGGACAGAATATGCAGGCCTATCAGGTGTCCACTTGGACCAACCTGAGAGAAAGAAGATGTGGCAATGTGTAAATAGACTCTCCTGCAACTCCCCCGGAAGTAGCTGTTCTTATCCTAATCCTTAACATTCTTCAAGAACTGACAAAAAAATATAAATCCATATACTTAGGAGACATAATATATTCCAAGCAGGATAAATGGAGAGAAACATGTGGTAGTGAACATATACAACCCCAGAGACCAAGGATGATGTTAAAAGAGTGAGACAAGGGGCAGAACGCTACAGAGAAACGAGAGCGGGGATTCCGACTGAATGTGGAGTGACACGTCTAAGATGCCGAGGGCCACAACCTGTCTGCCTGAAAGTGTGCACACAGCACAACTGTCTTTCAAGAACAAGAAATGAAAGCAATTACAGATAAACGGAGGTAAAATGAAGTTGCCATTAAAGGACTTCTAAAGAATATACTTCAGGAGGAAAGAAAATGATTCCTGAAAGATGGACCAAGATACGTGAAAAATCAAACAAATAGAATGGTAAGTGGTATGTAAATCCAAACACCCTGTCTACCAGGTAATCATATCTAATTTGTTAGGTTGGAAATAAAGGTCGGGATCAAATTACTTATCAACCACAACACCTAAGGTGGGTGAGCTGGGAGAAGTTAATGTAGTCTAGCTGTTTACTTCCTTCAATTTTGCAGAAGGTTTAGGATCTTGTTTAACTTTAGGGGTTGTTAAGTTAAATGTAATCACCAACAGAGTAGAAACAGAGTTTACCTATTTCAAACAATGGAAAGAAAAACAAAACACAGGTCTTCTGATTTATAATCCAGGACTCTCTCCTCTAAACCCATGCCTGTTTACACAAGTTGTGGGGCGCACTGGGGTAGGGGCTGGACGACGCTGATGCCTGCTGGGCTGGCATCACGGAGAGAGTGGAGCCCCGCCCCTGTCCACACACCTGTTGCTGGGGCTGAAGATGAAGAAGGCGCTGGCTTCCGGCATGGGCACCGCCTTCTCCTTCAGGTGCAGCTCAGAGAGGGGGCGCGGGCGGGGGCCCACAGGCATCTCGGGCTCCTCCTCATCTTCTTCTCCTGCAAGAAAAAAGCACCGTCCTAAATAGCTCCATGGCTCCCACTTATTTTTACCACCATGCTGCCCACTTCCAGACACCTTCCTACGGACAGGAATCAGACATCATCGGTATCTCTGGAAACGCAGGGGACCAGCTAGGACGGCCAGCTCTCTCCCGTGGGCACCTCTGGGGCTCATCTCTGCTGGAGGAAGCCTCCTGGCAGCACAGGAGACCGGGCTGTGAGTCGGGTGACCAGCTCAACTCCTGTCCTGCTTTTTAAACAGAAATCCCCACATCCTGGGAAACCCTCAGGGCCCTGCAGATTGGGGTGGCTGGTCATCCTAGTGGTCAGACACCAGAGAGGCAACCAGGTGAGATGGGGGCATGGCCAGGTGTCCTCAGCTGGCTGGCTGCAGGCCAGGGGAAAGGGCGGGTGGCCTTCGGGGCCGCCCCACCTGCTCATGTCCCACCCCCTCCATTTCTCTTGCTCTGACCTCCCCGGGCTTCTCCGCAGACAGCTGTATCCATAACTTGAAGGCAGGGCATGGTTTTATGATTTCCCTGACATTAGCTTTCTGGTTGGTTTGCTTTCTTGCTTCTTGTCTGCCTCCCGCTGAATGTGGGCCCCCCGCAACAGCAGCTTATCTGCCCCCATGGCTGAGCCCCCAGTGCCTGTCCAGGGCGAGGAACACTGTAGGTGCTTTATAAGCAGCGATTAAATCAAAGAGTGGATGTCTCCCTGGTTTCATCCAGCTCTGTATCCGTGACAACTGAATGGTCCAGAAGTCACTTCTTTCCTCTCCAACTCCCGGAACTGCAGACCTAGTGCGGACCACCCTGCTTCATGAAGCCGCTACCTCACTGCTCACCTCCTAGAGTCCCCGCAACAGCCCAGGCCTCCCTCACAGCATCTGGACTGAGCTACATGTTCCCTGGGGTCATCACATTTCCTTCTCATGTGCAGTTATTAATTTTAAGTCCTGCGTGACTCTTCAAGAACATCTGTGTGTTCACACGCATACATGAATCAAGCAGATAAAAGCCCATCTCAGCACAAAGCTTTCCTCCTGAGTGAGGCGATGTTTCTGAAATGTGGTGTGTACAGAGCTGGGGGCTCCGCTGATCTTGAACTCTGGAGATTAAACTTCGGGGGGAGGCCTGACAGGCCCCTGCTGGGCAGTGTGGTCGCTTCATGGGGACTAGGAACCGGCACCTCCTGCAGGGGGTCCCGTGATGAACAAAACCTTAACATCAGTTAGCTCCTTGCCCATATTCAGTTTTCCCTGACTGCCTCAAAAATATCATTTTAAAGTTTATTTGCTCATTCAGGATCAAGACAAGACCCGCCTACTGCATTCAGTGGCTATTTCTGGTGTGTCTTTGAAATTCTGTAACGGTTTCTGCCCCAGGGGCTGTAAAGTCTTCAAAAGGCTGGATGCCGGCTCAGGGACACCTTTCCGCCCTCCTTTCTGTCTGAGCCCCAGGAAGCCAAGTCCTCTTTCCCAGAGGACAGACTGTGGAGGGACAGGAGAAAGGAGGCTGGGCACAGTCCAGCTTCTGAGGGAGCTATGCCCCCACACAGACCAGTCTGCGCGGGGACCTGTGTCAGCGAGACCCGTAGCGCCATGATGGTCTGTTGTGACTTTGAGCTTGACGCAGGTGATGATACCCACAATTTTCGGCAGAAGGAGGGCAGGCCAGGCTCATGCAGGGTGTGGTGTCCTGATGCAGGGGACTGGCTCCTGAGGGTGGATGGGCTCCTGACGAGAGACCCTTTCCAGGGGCCCGCCTGCCAGTTTGCGGATCAGACCGCAGACAGGAAGCTCTTGTTGCGGGAGACCCAACAGCGTCGTGCAGAGCCGTGAGCAGGCGTCTGCAGCGGAGCCCTGCTGCGCTCAGCACCCCCTCCCGGGAGCGGGCAGGACAGATTCGGGATTTACTATTATTATTAACCAAGCAAGATGCTGCGACATATGTTATCCTAATAAGTTATGTAACTTAATAGCGATTTTACAACATAGGCTATAATAAACCTTACATGTATATGGAATCCAGCTTCCAAAAGGCCCAAAGGCACTGCTCCAACACAATGTGTTCAGTCTTCTGTTATTATTATCACAGTAATAATTGAGCAAAGTTTTCCCCCAGAGGATAAACGGTGATGCTACAGCTGAGTTGGGGGATTGAATGAGGCCCCTGCTTGTGGGGAAACTGGGATCAATACACAGCTTTAGAGACAGGTGTTCACCCCCATTCTCCTCTACCACCTCCCCCAGGCCAGGCAGCGGGCTGGTACCTGTGGTTTCCTGGTTGGGGTAGGAACTCTTGTCCTCATTCTCGTTGGGCTGGAGGTCATCCATGTTGATCTAGGCAGCCAAGGGAGAGAAGGAGGGTCCGGTTAGATAAGATCCATGGTTTAGAGGCCTCCAGTAGGCTTGAAATTGCCCCCGAGTCTAGGCTGAACTGTCCCTTTGTACATGACCCTTAGAACACCAGCAGAAGGCTGGCCTTCCTCCTCTGCATGCCCACCCAGCACTGCTGTCCACCCGCCCTGGCTCTGTCCCCCTCCTCTGGCCTCTATGTCCCCCTCCCCCTCGGTGTCTAGCTTCTGGGCAGAGCAGCCCACCCAGCACGGCTGTCCCCCTCCTTCTCCCTACCCCCCTCCCCACCCCGGCTCCTGGGCAGAGCAGCCTGTACCTTGGTGGGGGGTGGGGACTCTCCATCTGCTGTGATGGATTTCAGCTCGATTTTCTCCTCCTTGGTCTCCTCCACGGCCGGCTTCTCTACCACCTCTTGCTTCTTCTCTGGGCTGGCGGTCCTGGCGGGTCAGCAGGAGAGAAGAGCAAGGGATGTTGACCAGAGTAATAGGGTGCTGCCCTTGTGGTCCTTTGTGGTCCCTTGGGGTCCAGACCGCTGGGGCCTGGGACCACCTGTCTTCTGGGGGCCCTGCTGTGTGGCTCAATCCTTGGGGCACTGGGCCTCCCCCTGGCTCTGTCCTCCCCGGGTCTCTGCCCCTGCTCGGCTCTGTCTAGCACTCAGCTGAATGCCCAACTTCTCCCCAACTTAGCCTCTGTCTAATTCAAAGGTTCCTGAGAGCCTACTCAGTATCCGGCACAGGTGTGGCCCAGACTGTCCATCGGAACATGTACGAGGACGGCGTGGGGTCCTGTCTTGTCTGTTCATCAGCAGAGATGAGCTACAGAACAGTGAGGAGGCATCATCTTTCCAGGTTCTCCTCCGACTGGCTGCCCTCCCATCCCATCCTCTGCTCCCATCATCTGTCATGACCCTCTTCTCAAAAGAGAGTCCCCCAACTCCTGGACCCGTGGGGAAACACGACACCTCCCCAGGGATGTAATTCACGGTGCTCCTCACTTGGAGCGATGTCCAGGAATAGGGGAGAGGCCCAGCTCACTGTAGGGGCCCCCACCTAATCCCATCTAGAAGGACAGCCGGGCAGGCCCAGCCTCTCCTGAGCACTGCCGGGAGCAGCATCTGGGAGCCGGGCCGCGCTTGGCCCAGGGGCCTCGCAGTTACCTGGCCAGCTTCTTCCTCTCCTTCTCCTCTTCCTCCTCCTTCTGGGCAGACGTGAGGCTCTCGGCGTCAGCCAGGTTGTCCACAGCAATGGCCAAGAACACGTTCAGTAGGATATCTGTTTGCGTCCATTCTTAAAGAAAATGACCCTTGGACTTGGGGTGGTGGGTGGGCACAGGGGCCGGGCCAGAACAGGACGTGCAGGGGCGGAGTTCCCCACGGGGAGGAGTTCCCCACGGGGAGGAGTTCCAAGCCCACTGAGCCCCCGTCTCCCTCTGCACCGCCCTCCTAGCTTCCTGGGGTTTCCTGGGGGATCCGGAGCAGGGGGGCTTGCAGGCCGGGTCTGGGGTTGGAAGGCAGGGAGCCCAGTCTTGTTCTAAATGCTGGGTTTCGATGCTGCTTCCCACAGAGACGACTGCCTGTAAGTGACACTGTAAACAGCGCTGCCTCCAGCGGGTCATGGCACTGGGCGGTCATTACCACCACCAGGAGGTGCCCGCTCACCCTGCCCACTCCCGCCATGACCTTGTTCAGACAGAGGCCCCAGAAGGGTCAGCCGGGCTTCTGACTGAGCGGAGTCTGCCGTTTCTTCTCCCCCGCCCCCGACTCAGATGCATATACCATGGGTCAGAGAACCGGATCAGAGCCAGTCCAGCCTAGAGGTTAACGCCGGTCAGGCCCCCCTCCACCCCAGGCCCCGGGTGGCTCTGGTTCACACGGGGAGCTGAGGGGCCCCACTCCCAAGGGCAGGGGCTGGGTGTGCGGTACCCAGTTCAGCCTCGCTCAGCCCGCTAGGTCAGAGGTGCTGCCATTTCCACCCTGTTTCCAGGACACTAGGTGGACAGCCCTGGGTGTGTCTGAGGTTGAGAGCTGATCTCTGAGTCCAGATCATCTATAATTCTACTTTACAAGCCTCTCTGCACAGAACCCCGGCGGACACAACAGGGGGGCGCTGCCTGCAGTGGGGGACCTGGGAACCTGTCCGTGGCCTGTCTGATCTGCCTGTGGCTAACATCCCCCTGAGCAGCTTCAGAGGGAGGGCAACAGGTGAAGGTCACTTCCGGGGTGAGGCTTTTCCTCCCTTAGCAGGGCCCCCGGCCAGGGCAGCAGATGCCTCACGATGAGGTCTGAGTGGGCAGCTGCAAGGCCAACACCAGTGGGCACTGCCCACCTGGACCTCGGCAGCTCAGGGGGATGGACTCACATCTCCCCTGGGCCCAGCTCCAGGTTTCCATCCCGACTTGCCTACACCACTAAGGTGGTCTGGGCTGGACACGTGCCTTTTCCTTCTCTGGGGAAGGGTGGCCCTGGGTCCCCCCTGGTCAGGACCCACTGGTCGAACCTACTGGCATTGAGCTACAAGTTAGGAGGGCAACAGGGGGTGGGGGAGGCAGGCGCAAAGGATACAATTTCCACAGATGAAGAGGATGATGAAGTAAATACAGACTAACATCCCTGGAAAAGAGGGGCCGCCATAAGCCATGATCCCATCATACATCACCGAATTCCAGTCCTCCCCGGTCAGGATCTGAATGACATAGTCCCACCAATGAGGGACACAGCGTTAGACCAACAGCAAGCCCGAAGCTCCCCTGCCCGGCCCCCTGCCATATAGAAACCTCTGACACCTCTCTTCTCTCCCTGTCTCCTGCCACCCGATCTCCTCCCGGGGCTCTGAGCTGTGATCCTGCAGGTCCAGCCCTCTCCTTTGAGTGAGTGGCCACCGGCACAAATGATTGATCGACTGTAAGCACTTCCTGGGATAAACACCTCCTACAGCCCAGGCCCAGTGCTCGGCGGCCACTGTGAGGCCACCCTAGGGCTAAGGCATCAAGGTGACCATGTCCACTGAGGAGCCACGTGGTCCCCCAGGCTTCCCCAAACATGAGGACTTTGGGTACCATCTATAAGATTTTGGCAACATCCATGTTATCATTCAATTTAATCTGTAAACCGATCTCCTTTTAAACTTCGGTGCTACTTGAACTTGGCCCCAAGCCAACAGATCTACGAAAGTCACAAATTTGATGGTGGTCGTATTTTCCTGGGGGCAACCTCCCCTCCTCTTTCCTCTCCAGCAAGAGCCGCCTGCCCTCTTTTGTGGATATTTTGGGCTTTCATGTAGAATATATTTGAATAAAGGTTTCCACAGCTAAGAAACAGATTTTTAAGCCACTGAGTTGGATCTCTTTTTTTTTTTCCCCCAGGGGTCCATCGGACAGTGGAATTCCGTGGGGCTTGGGGGTGGGAGCTTAAGACTCTCCTGGGCTCCCGTGACCGACCTGGTCTGGCTTTGGCTGTCCCGTGGGAGTGGGAAGCCCCTTCTTCTCTGCTCCCCCCATCCCCAGGCACCTGCTTCCTGCGCCCCTCCCCACCCCGGCCATGATCCGGCAGAGAAGGGTCCATACCTGAAACACGGTGAGGAGGGACTGCGGGAAGTTGTCAAAGGTGCTCCTCCGGGTCTGCATCTCATCAAAGTTGAACTTCCCCCCGAAGAGCTGCATCCCCAGGAGGGAGAAGATGATGATGAAGAGGAAGAGCAGCAGCAGCAGCGAGGCGATGGAGCGAACTGAGTTCAGCAGGGACGCCACCAGGTTGCTCAGGGAGTTCCAGTATCTGCGGACGAAGGGGCATTAGCGTCCTCACCTTCCTCCACCTGCCACACCCGCCAGGGGCTTTGAGACCAACTGCAGCTCCCTGCTCTTTGCCCTTCCCTTGTGGCAGCGTGGTGGTGGGACTGGGCGGGCCAGCTCACAACTGGAGTGTGAGTGACTCAGCTCAGGGCCCAGGCTCAGCAGCCTGGTTCTGACCCAGCTCTGCACATGCCTTTGGGCAAGTTGCTCAACCTCCTTTCTTTCCTTCTTCTCCCCAGCTGAAGAAATAGGGGCAATGACAGCTTGCACTTCATTCTGTTATTGGGAGGATTACATATGATAATGATTTTTTAAAAGCTCAGCCCTCAGGCAACAAAATAAAAAAATAAACAAGTGAGACAACATCAAACTAAAAACTTCTGACAGTTAATTCTCTGCAAAGTGAAAAAACCTACAAAATGGGAAAAAAATATTTGCAAACCATATATCTGATAAAAGATTAAGATATGAAGACATATTCTTCAACATATATGAAGAATGTATACAACTCAACAGTAAAAAACAAAGAACATCCCAAATAATCCAACGATAAAATGAACAGAAGGCCTAAATAGACTTTTCTGCAAAGAAGACATCCAGATTGCTAACAGATATGTTAAAAGATGCTCACCATCACTAATCATTAGGGAAATGCAAATCAAAACCACAAGGTATCACCTCACCCCTTTAGAATGCCTATCATCAAAAAGACAAGAGATAAGTGTTGTCGAAAACATGGAGAAAAGGGAACGCTTGTGCACTGTTGGTGGGAATAATGTAAACTGGTGCAGCCACTGTGAAAAACAAAATGAAGCTTTCTCAAGAAAATTAAAAATAGAACTACCACACGACCCAGCAATTCTGCTTCTGGGAATATATCCAAATGATATGTCCATTGCAACATTATTCACAATAGCCAAGATGCAGAGACAACCTAAGTGTCCATGAACGGATAAATGGATAAAGAAAATGCGGTATACATTATCTACAATGGGATATTACTTAGCCATAAAGAAGAAGGAAATGTTGCTATTTGCAACAACGCGGATGAACCTTGAAGGTATTATGCTAAGTGAAGGGAGTCAGACAGAGAAACACAAATACCATATGATCGCATTTATATGTGGAATCTAGAAAATACAAAAACAAAACCAAACAAGACCCCTCACGAAACTCACAGAAAAAGAGATCAGATTTGTGGTTACCGGAGGCAAGGTGGTAGTGGGAGATGGAAGGGATGAAGCTGGCCAAAAGGTACCAACTTCCAGTTTCAAATTCCTAGCATTTATTTAGTTATAGATAAATAGATGCTAGGCATGTAAAGTACAACACAATGACTGTAGCCAACACTGCTGTATATGAAAGCTGTCAGAGTAAATCCTAGGAGTTCTCAACATAAGGATTTTTTTTTCTTTTTATTGAATACACTATATCTCTATGAGATGGTAGATGTTAACTAAACCTATCATTTTACAATATATGTAAAACAGATCATCACACTGTATACCTTAAACCGAGACACTGACATATGTCAATTATTTCTCAATTAAACTAGAAAAAAAATAAATTCCAGCTCGAAAAAAAAAATAGCTCAGTATAGTGCCTGGCACACAGGTGATAAAGGTTAGTAATTATTGTTATCACTACTGATCTTGAAACAAAAAGACACAATTAAAATTTTTCTTTTTCCAGAATATAGCCTTCCATCAAGCCCAGGCACGAGTGGGGTCCCCTTCAGGTGAGGGTGGGCAGGGTGGCTCATGGATAAGAGAGGGTGCATGGCTTATTGCGGTTTCCCAGCTTCACCCTATTCAAAGAGTTGGTTCTTTAAAAAACCTGTCTTCTAGAGGTTATGATTCAGTATCTGTGGTTGAGGCCCAGAAACCTGCTTTTCACAAGGATCCTAGAGGATTCTGGTAAACAGCCAAGCTTCAGAAACCCTGAGTTGCGACCACCCCACCCCACCCCATCCCTCCTGCACCCCTCCAGCCTGTGGCTGGCTGTAAACACAGATGCCCTTCATCGTGAGGATGGATGGGGAGGGGAAAACCCTCTCCTGGAAAAGGGGGTGGGACACAAATGGTTGGAAGGGCTCAGAGACCTGGGACAGGGTTGGTTCAGGTGCAGCAAAGGGACACGGCCTCCAGCTGGGCACGTGCCAGGACACAGCCTCTCGTATCTCCCAGTGCTACCCCCGCCCGGCCACCTTCCAGGTCACAACCTCAATCTCCTGCACTTAAGATATTCCCAGTTTATCACTGAGACAGACAGGGAAATGTTTCTGTTGCTCAAGACAGTGACATGCAAGCCACCCCCACTGCAGCCTGGCAGCTGCACCCCGGCCGGACCCCTCTCTCCATGGAGTGGCTCTGTATTAAGTGACAGAAGCAGACGGGCCAGCAGTTTGCACATAAACATGACCTTCTCCCCAACCTGGAGTCTCTCTTGCTCCTTTCTCCTTCAGACAGCTTTTCTCCACTCTGCTCTGCCTGCCAGCCACATGCCCTCTGTTTGCAGAATGGTAAGATACATTTCTGGTGAAGGAAATGGCAACCCACCCCAGTATTCTTGCCTGGAGCATCCCATGGACAGAGGAGCCCAGCGGGCTACAGTCCATGGGATCACAGAGAGTCAGATACGACTCGGCAACTAAACAACAACAACAATGTACAGTTATTTGCACTTGCAATCAAAATGCTCACACGTCTTCCTCATCTGTCTCACCAAATAGGCTTGAGTCCGTGAGGGCAGAGGCTTTCCTTCCACCTGCTCTGTCTCTGTCCTCAGGTGATTTCTGGCCAGCCCTGCATGTGTGATGGGCTCATGGTCAGCTAGAGGCTGTACTGACTGTTCTGCTTGAAGTGAGGGAGTCAGACAATCTTTATGAGCTAGAACACCCGCTCTGCTTACATTTAAAGTTCCCAAAGCTGCCTGGAGGGACGTGCTGAGGAGGCACCACTTTCTAAATGCCGATTCCCAAGCATCACCTGGAACCATGAGACCATTGATGTGAGAGGACCAGTGCCTGGCAGCAAGGCGGTGTTTAGGAACCAGAACTCTGGAGCATGTTTGTAACAAGAATACCCAGCTGTATCAGCCGGTTGTGGGGAGGGGAGGTTAAGGTAATGTGGGTTAAGGTCACAGAACCCCTAAACCGCACAGAATATTCTGGGTAAGACAATGACTATAAACATTAGTGCCTTAGTTTTCTGGAGGCCCATGGACATGAGGGGAATAGACTTAGGCTAGTCTATCCAGGCTAGCCTGATAGACTGAGCACTGAGACTCAGAGCTGTAGGCTGGCCAGGGGCCCAGGGGCGCCAGCCTAGCAGGCCCCAGACCCGAGAGAGAAAGTCACTGGGTTGGGGAGGAGGGCTGGCTGGGGAGCGGATCAGGGACGTGGCTGTGGGGAGCGGAGGCTGTGAGGGAGAGCAGGCTGTATCACCTGTCATGGGCCAGGAGCTGATCTGGGAATGTGTGGTGGAGGAGGCCTGGAGGGGCTGAAAGGGTGGGCAGAGCCTCTGGCCAGAAGGGAGAACCCTCTTCTCCTGCTCCTCGTGTGCCCAGGGGCGCCCAGTCGTCTCAGTCGATGGGGTGGTGGTTCTCTGCACAACATGCTGGTGTGACGGGGCCCCCATGGCCCATCCTATCACAGTAAAGCACAGCTGTGTCTCTGGCCCAGGGTCGCCCTTCAGGCCTCCTCACCCCCTCAGCAGCTCCTGGCACCTGCCACCCAGGCCAGCATCTCACCTGCCCTGCCCCCCCGCCCCCTCCAGCTGCCACCCCGAGGCCCAGGTGAGGATTCATAAATGTATCACAGCCAGTGCTCCTAGGACAGCAATAAATCACAGCACACCGAAAACATCTGATCCACTGACGTTAAAGGAAGGAGAGAGGAGAATAGGAATGAATGAATGAATGAGTGAGCGAGCTCATCAGTGATTCAGGTAAGACCATCACCGAGGGAGCAGGTGTTCATGGCCCCGACGTCTCCCCATGGATTCCTCCATAACATAAGGTCTGAGGCTCCTGACCTTCCACGGCCAGACCATGCGTCACACTGGTACGTGTCAGGAGAACAGACTGTGGTTCCCAGACATGTGTGGGGGGAGGTGGGCGAATTGGGAGAGGGGGTTAAAAGGGAGAAACCTCCAGTTATAAAATAGAGTCTTGGGGATGCAGTGCCCAAGGGCCAACTCAGCAGGAGTTGAACCCTGGTTCCCTAAGACTCACCAGAGCCTAGAGGGACGCTGAGGCTGAACCCGGCATTTGCTGGGCCAGGAGGCAGCAAATAGGATTCCAGACCATGGCAGTCAGGATCTGGGATGGCCTGGGCCTGGGGTGGAAACTGCTGGTTTAGTTTCTTCTGTTCCCCATCCTGCACTTCATCTGGGGGCCGAGACTCTACAGTCAAACCCACCTGGATAACAAACTCAAAGGCCTGGTCGTCCCTGTTTGCTTCAGAGGCCTCGGCCACACAGGGGCCAGACCCGTATGGGCCCATGGCCTGGTCACACTGGCAGGGCAGCCTGCCTGGACCGTGGGACTGGGGAGGTGCTCCTTGAGCCTCTGAGTCCCCCGGCCGGCCCTGTGGTCGTGTCGGGGTGAGGCAGGGAGCGGAGCGTCATCTTCTCCTGTCTCTTTAATCCCAGAAAACCAGCACCTTCCTCACTGATGGCTGGCCCGTGGGCCCCCAGCCTGGGAAGTGGGTGGACGTCAAAGTCACCCTTATAGCAGGGGCCCGCAGCGAGCGCAGAGCCTCCCTGGGTCCCTGGGAAGAGTCGGGGCTGGGAGATGGCAGAGGAGGGTGATCTGTGGCTCACGGCCAGACTGACAGGAAACCGAGAGCTCAGAGACTGGAGGGTTTGAGCTTCGGGCTGTGGGGCCCCTGTGGTCAGGATTCACCAGTGGGGCTGTCAGTGCTGAGTCAGCCTGGTCTCACCTCTCAGGGCCTGGGGAGGGAGTTTCAGGAGCAAGGGAAGGATTCAGGGCTTCAAAGGGAAAATGGCAATGGCTGGAGGGATGGTGGTGCACTTAAAGATCAAGTGTTTAAAAAATGAGATGCAATTAGTAAATGGGAATCACATCCAGATCTAATCAAACCAAAGCTCCTCTTCCTTCCCACAGAGTGAATGTCAGGCTGACAAACAGCAGACAAACTAGATATTAAAACCAGGCAACACTTAGAACCCCATAGAGCCCCGAAGCAGGAGAAAGGACCTCAAACCTCCTGTGGCTGGAAGGCCCTTTCACTCAAAGATAATGCAGGTGAAAAGACAACCCTCAGAATGGGAGAAAATAACAGCAAATGAAACAACTGACAAAGGATTAATTTCCAAAATATATAAGCAGCTCATACAACTCATACCAGAAAAACAAACAAACTAATCAAAAAGTGGGCAAAAAACCTAAATGGGCATTTCTTCAAAGAAGACATTCAGATGACTGATAAACACAAGAAAGACACTCAGCGTCGCTCATTATTAGAGAAATGCAAATTGAAGCTACAATGAGATATCACTTCATACTGCTCAGAATGGCCATCACCAAAAAAAAATCTACAAACAATAATGCTAGAGAGGGTGTGGAAAAAAGGGAACCCTCCTGTACTGTCGGTGGGAATGTAAACTGATGTAGCCACTATGGAAGACAGTATGAGATTCCTTAAAAAAAAACTATTCCTTAAGAGTAAAACTATCGTACAACCCAGCAATCCCACTGCTAGGTGTAAACCCTGAGGAAATCAAAATTGAAAAAGACACATGCACTCCAATGTTCATTGCAGGTCTATTTACAATAGTTAGGACAAAGAAGCAACCTAGATGTCCATCAACAGATGAATGGATAAAGAAACTGTGGTACATTTATACACAGTGCAATATAAGCCATAAAAAGGAACACTTTTGAGTTAGTTCTAATGAGATGGTTGAACCTAGAGCCTATCATACAGAGTGAAGTAAGTCAGAAAGACAAATATCGTGTATCAACACATATATATGGAATCTATAAAACGGCATTGAGGAACCCATGTGCAGGGCAGCAACAGGGACACAGACTAGAGAACAGACTGTGGACACAGTGGGGGAAGGAGAGGGTGGGATGAATGGAGAGAGTAACATGGAAACATCTACATTATGTACGTAAAATTAGAGAGCCAATGGGAATTTTCTGTATGACTCAGGGAACTCAAACCGGGGCTCTCTAACAACCTAGTGGGGTGGGATGGGGTGGGAGGTGGGAGGGAGGTTTAAGAGGGAGGGGACATATGTATACCTATGGCTGATTCATGGTGATGTATGGCAGAAACCAATACAATATTATAAAGTAATTATCCTTCAATTAAAAATAGATAAATTTTTAAAAATGGAAGAAGAAGGGAAAAATCAATTTAAAAATTTGGCTGGATTCATGTTAGATCTTCATCATTATGAGTTTTCTCAGTTGAGAGCCATCAGAAGTACCATCTTAATGGGGTCGGGGATACAGTCTAGAGAAGTGAATGCCAAGAAAAGATCACGATTTCCAGTTATACACGAAGGTTCATAATTTTAGACCAGAAAGAGGACAAAGGATGGCTGCAGAAAATCAGGCCAGAGTGTCTCAAAGTGAGGTTATCAGAGCCATGGCTTAGAACACCCTGGGGGTTTCTGGTCAAAATCTCTAGGTTTGGGGAGATCCTTAATGAGCTCCTTTGAGGAGGACAACTTGGTTTGAGAATCACAATCACTGGTCCAGAAAACACTGTTAAAAATAGCATCTCCAAGAGATTTTCAAAGAAGAGGGAGAAACAGACTTGTTTGAGGGAGAGCCAGGCTGACCTTTCTCAGGGGACCTCCAGGCACACTCCCAGACCCTATTTTAGGCACATTCTGGTCTCTGGAACATATTGGGGACGAGGTTCAGAAGTGGGCATGGGATCCCCCACAGCTAGTCTCTCTGGCGTCTCCCAGAAGCCCCCAGAGGGTTTGGAGACTGAAAAACAGGAAGACAATGACCTTTACCAAAGGAACTTCTAATTAGATGATGAAATTGTTCTGTTCACAGACGTTTTGGGGATCTGAAAATTCCTGTGGACCGGGTTTGGGAAGCTTGAGGATAAAGACAGATTTAAAATGGTTTCTTGGCAGTAGTTTCAGATTAGAAATAGATAAATTGTTGATAAAAATAGAATGAACACTAAGATGCTGTGACAATACCTGGGAGCAAGAATTCTTTTCTACAGGAATTAAAAAAAAAAAAAACAAAACCCCAAACCAAAGACAAAACCCCAAGCAGGTGGGGTTTTGAGAATTACTTAAAAGGCACCTGAAATGCCACATTAAAAATAGTTTTGGGCAAACCCCAGGAGGAGCAAGCAGAGTCACTCAAAAATCCTTTAAGTCCTGTCTCTGGAAATGGACAAGAGAGTTTAGAAAGTAGAGAAACTGGAATCCTTACACATTGAAAAACTAAGATCATGGCATCCGGTCCCATCACTTCATGGCAAATAGATGGGGGAAAAGTGGAAACAGTGACAGACTTCATTTTCTTGGGCTCCAAAATCACTGTGGAGGGTGACGGCAGTGGCGAAATTAAAAGACGCTTGCTCCTTGGAAGAAAAGAGGAGGGGAGAGGAGGGCGGCACGCACCTTGTGATCTTAAATATCCGCAGGAGGCGCACGCAGCGCAGCACGGAGATGCCCAGGGGTGACATGATCTTGGTCTCCACCAGGATGGTCTCCAGGATGCCGCCACACACAATGAAACAGTCGAAGCGGTTGAAGAGCGACACGAAGTAGGCCTGCAGGCCAAGGCTGTACATCTTCAGCAGCATCTCCGCCGTGAACAGGGCCAGCAGCGCCTTGTTGGCCGTGTCTGCAGGGGCCGCACAGGGCGGGGCAGAGGAGGTGAGGGTGGGGGGTCCCTGCAGGGACACCCCATGCTGGGTCCCATACATGGCCCTCGCTCTGCGACTCATCTAGTTACAACCTCAGCACACATCCAGCGACAACCCCCTACCCCCGGAGTCCCCCACCCCACAGCAGCTCTCCAGGCAGCCCAGCTGCTGTCATGCCCATTTTCCAGACACAAGAAGTGAGGTTTGAGGGGCTGCTACCTGTCTGCTCAGACCCACAAGCCAAGAGCAGGAGCCGGGGTCCTTGTCTGCCCTCGTCACTGGGAGGAGATGGGCCCACCCAGGTTCCGGGAGACACCTCGGGGTCCAGGCTGGGTCTGCCTGGCCCTCGGGTTAGTACCCCAGCGAGGGGTGGTGGGACTGACAGCCATGGAGGACAGGTCCCTGGGCCCAGGCCACCCTCGTCCTCTCCCTGGCTTTGTGCTCACTGCCCCTCGCAGGTGCGGGCCAGCACACCTGGGGGCGATGGGTGGGCAGTTAAGGATCTGACAGAGTCAAACAAGCCACTGTCCCTGACGTGGTCTCCTGGACCCAGTGGTGACCGCCGGGACAGGTAGACAGCATTGCTGGCCTGGTGGGTCCCGTCTACGTATAGTGAATTGGTGTGTTTTACTGGCTGGTGAGCTGCCAGGCTCTGGTGTGGCCAGGGTGACCCACTGCCCCCTCGTCCCTGGTCCTGCTCCCCTTGCCCACCCCCAGGAGAGAGCCCCATCAGCCTGAGTAACAGGAGGGCTGGCAGCCTCTCACCTTGGACTTCCGTGAGCCAGTGGGGCTGGTTGTAGTGCTCGGAGGCGATGGTGAGAGTGTTGAGGAAAACCAGGAAGATGACCAGCCAGTAGAAGATGCTGGACTTCACGGCTGCGCGGCACTTCCTTCTGCAGAACCGATTCCACCTGCGCCAGTAGCGGCTGGAAGGGGCAGAGGAGGGGGACGGGAAGGGGCAGCTGTGAGTTCAGGTCCTGCGCTGGACACCTCCCTCCCCTGAGCTGGCCCAGCCTCACCAAGGGCCGAGGGACCAGCATCCCACCTCAGTCACCGGCTCGTGGCTGGCAGTGTGGCCTCGGTGGGGGGTGGGGGAAGGGTGTCCTGCTCCTCTGGGACCATGGCCCCCTCGTCTGTGACCCCATGCAAGGTCAGCCTTGTGTGAGGGTCTCGCCTGATGCTGAAGGGAGGTATCCTATTTTCATAACAATGGCATCACTTGAAATAGAGCTGCAAGTATAACTAGTAGTGATGATAGCACTAGGACTAGTAATGGCTATCACTAGTGAACCCCACGTCTGCCTGGTTCCATATCAGGCACTTCTCATGCCTTCTCTGAGTCTTTAAACAACTCTGCAGAGAAGGCATTGTCCTGATTTTCAGAAGAAAGCCAAGGGTCCTTGAGTTTGGGTGCCTAGACTGATACCGGCTGGGGACAGAGTCAGTGGTGTTACCCGCCCACCACCCCCTTGCCCAGGGGCCCAGCCCTTGCCTAGCTGCCTTGTCTATGGGGCTGGGAAGAGTTGGCAACAGAGCTTCTTGCCTTCATGGAGGGCTCTGTTCAGGACAATGGGCAGAACCCCCATATCTAACATGAGTTCATGGCACTCATGAAGTCCTGAAAGCTCATCCATTGGCCATGGGACACTGACCCCCGTGGCCTCTGGTTAGAGACTTTCATCAAACCTGGCTGTGCATTGAATCATATGGGGAAACTTAATAACAAAAATCCACCAGTATTCAGGCTCCAACTCCAAACCAGTTAAATCTGATTGTCTGGGGGTAGTTTTAAATACCCCCCAGATACTGTTGGGCTTCCCAGGTGGTGTTAGTGGTAAAGAATCCGCCTACCAATGCAGAAGACGCAAGAGGCTTGGGTTTGATCTCTAGGTCGGGAAGATCCCCTGGAGGAGGAGATGGCAACTCACTCCAGTATTCTTGCTTGGGAAATCCCATGGACAGAGGAACCCGGTGGGCTATAGATTGTGGGGCTGCAGAGTCAGACACGACTGAAGTGACACAGCACACCCAAATACCATTGCTGTTTGTTAAGATTCCGGATGGTTCTCTTATGTAACCACAGATGACAACCATGGAGCTGGAAGATCCCAAGGAAACACTCGCATTTTATAACTTTGGTGGATGGGTTTATAGCTTGTCCCCAATTTCATCCTCAATACTGAGAAAATATGCAGCTATATTTGGTAATTTTGTCGGCCAAACATTTAACAAATGCCCACACCATGCGAGGAGGGAAGGGAAGGGAGTGCAGGGGAGACTGTGGGGCCCTGCCTTGAGAGGGGATCTGGGTCTAGAAACCAAACAGCCAACGAAACAGCCATGCGGTCAAGGGTCAGCTCAGGGTAGGGATGCTCAGCAGGCTGTTGGGATAGAGATGAGGAAGGCCACAGCTTCACTCATGCAAAGACGACAATGAGCTGGCCGATTTTGGAGGCAGGTTAGCAGGCCTTTGACCCTGGCCTTGAATGCAGGGGAGAGAGAAAGGGTGGGGGGGCATAGGCCCAGTCACCAGAGTGGGTCCCCTGCAGAGGCAGGCCTGGAGGAACTTGCAGGTCGTGTCTGCAGGAACACCCACTGGCGGCTGAGGACACAGTCCCTACTTGTGGACAGAAAGGGGGCACTGCACTCATATCTACACAATGTCCTAGGTCTCCATTGTCCAGACTCTGCTGTTAGGACCCTCCACCCACCCCGGACGGCCTTCGGGAGAGCTTGACTTTGTCTGTGTTTCTACTCTGTTATTTCTGTGGCTACAGTCTGTGGGAAATCCTACTGCCACGCCTCTGCTGGAATCTGTTCTGAGACTAGGAAGGGGGGCACATCCAAGGAGGCCTGGCTGCCCGGGAGCTGCAGGAGAACCTGGCTTGTGGCCTGCAGAGCAGGGAAGGGAGGGAAGGGTTCTGACCTGATCCCGCCCTCCATCACCTGGGGGGCAGGGACGCCACCTCCAGGGAGCACCAAGCCTTGGCAGGGACGAAGGCTGCTACTGGGGGAGGGTCACCACATGGAGAAGAAATGCCCGGAGGTCAGAAAAATGATGGTTCCCAGTGTGCTGTGGGCTTTCCGTTCCCCTAGACATACTGTCAGGGAAGAGCAGGGGTGGGGTGAAGAGGGACAAGGCGATGGGGTGGCCGCTAGTCGGGGTGAGGGGCGGCCTCTGGGTGCTGGACTGCAGTGCTGAGGCACCTTCTCTGGCCAGGGTGAGACTCCACTTGTCTCCTGTGACTGAGGTGGGTAATACTACAGACAAAGTTGGGAGACATTTTTTCCCCCTGAAAAACAAGTTTTCAAGACAAACTCATGTCTAATCTTAAGTAGCGTCAAGGTGGCTCAGTGGTAAAGAGACTGCATGCCAATGCAAGAGACACAGGAGATATGAGTTCAACCCCTGGGTCGGGAAGATCCCCTGAAGAAGGAAATGGCAGTATTTCCAGTATTCTTGCCTGGGAAATCCCATGGCGGGCTGCAGTCCATGGGATTGCAAAGAGTCAGACATGACTGACTGAGCACGCATGCATGAACGACACACAAACGGACCCTTGCCACAGGCACTTGCCATCTACCTCTGCAAAGATTAAATCATGTGCTACTGCAGCTGCTGACCTTCAGCACCCCTGCAAAGAGTTCTCTGTGGAGAGCAGAAATGAGGCCCTTTGTGCTCTGGAAAAAGCTGGCAGGACTGGTCGTGAGAGAGTTGGATATTCTCAGGAGATGGTTTTATGAGCCCACGTCTTACATCTCCTTATAGCTAGAAAAACACTAAAATCCTTCATGGTGATGCCTGCTCCTCGTGACTAGCAGTGACCTACAGATGACTAGCAGAAACCTGCAAAAAATGTGTGCTTGATTGTATGAACTCCACCCTCACCAAAATCATGTATATACTGACCTTCCCCCTGCCTCTTTGGAGCAGTTCTCAGAGCTAGCTGAGATGCTGTCTCCCAGGCTATAGTCCTCACTTTGTCCCCAGTACAACTTAACTCTCACTTTGTGTATTTTTAAAGTGGTCAATAGTTTACACTGTAGTTGCAAAGAATGTGTTTTGAATAGAGGCAATCTCATTTACAGAAATCACCCATAACTGATTCAGAGGCTAATGGAATTGTGGCTGCTTTCTTCCAGGGTTTGGAGGAACTAACTCGACCTCTGTCTCATGCTGATGAAAGCTTGACTAAGTTCTGTTGCCAAGTCTGGGACTGGTGGATACAGGTGCCACGTGCTGGGGGCCTGTCCTGGGGGTCTGGAGATGCTCTGGTGGATCCCCGGTAGCCACTGTGACTGACGGTCAGGGTGGCGCCCGTGGAATCGTGTGCTCGCGTGACAGCCACTCAGGAGAGCCACGTGGGCTTGGGCTGGGGTGGGGGTGGAGTAATTACTACCCAGAGAAAGTATTTAAAGATAATTACACACCTCCCACTCTTCAAAATATAGCTTTGCTTGACAACTGGTTTCCTGGCAACGCTTCCTACTGTATAATAAACGTAATAGTTTATTAGAACGTGTAAGTTTATTTGTGTGTTTACATGCGCACAGAGAATATAGAGATTAAATGATAAAGCAAGGAGGAGGAATTCACCTGCTATTCACGTTCCCTCAGCTCCCTGGCAAAGTCATTTCCTCTAGAAGTGGAACTTTCTGGACGCAGACCCAGAGGGCATGGTGGGCTTTGTCGTATCCTCTCTTATATCTTCTCACCCGTCCATCCGTGGTCCCACCAGACAACTCTGCTTGACATGGTTGTCCCCCTACCAAGCCTCCTTTCTGGGGTCCCACCTTGCTTCAGGGCTTGATGGGGGGCCCACCTTCTCCATGATGCACTTTTCTAGGTGTCCCAGCCTTGGAGCTCCGGACACACTGTCTATGTTACTTACTTGGCTACACACTCAAGAGGCATTTGTTAAGCATCTATCCCAGTTGGGTTCTACATATTCAGCAGTTAACACACAGACAGGAAGCTCACGTGGTTGACGGACCCCAAGGGAGCTGGGTGCCAGGCGGGCTTAGTAGGTGCCTCAGGGGAGGGCCTCCCAGCCTGCCGTGGGCAGCCAGCGAGGTTCCACAGAGGACACGATGCCCCTTTCCTGTAAGTCAGTATGTTTAACGTGTGGTTCCTGCCTCTCCACCGAGACCGAGATCGAGATGAGATCACGATAGAGATCGCAAGGTCCTGAGATTGAGGGGCGGAGTCCTGCCCTTTGTGATGGATCCGTAGCTCCCCTGCCCCCCACACCCCACAGCAGGAACACTGGGTGGGCAGGCAGGTAGGGCAGCAGACAAGCTGTGCACAGACTTGCTCACTGCCTGTGTGGACAAGGCTTAAGACCCCAGGGCTGGGGTCAGGAGGAGAGGGGGTGGTGCTCCTGGAAGAATCTGCCTGGCACAGAATTCTGGACAAGCATCTAGAACAGGAGACACCAAATGGTGGACACTTGGGGCTCTTTCCAGAGACAAGAGTGGAGAACAAGCAACCCAGAAAACCCCTACATTTAATTGTTTTATACAAAAGTAACCTAAAAACGGGCTATCAGGATGGGCAAATTTGGGCATGTGCCTTGTTGCTGAGGGGATGGCAGAGGTAAGGGGGAACTTGTGGGCACATTTCTCTGAAAATGGGACAGGTTTCCAAACATCAGACTCTGAGGGGTTCACCTCAGACCCAGAGGGGTTCCCCTCTGACCCCCACGTCTCCCAGATCCAACCCTAGCACATTGCCTGGCTAATCCCTTCAAACTGAGAAGACCTCAGAACATTTTGTTCCATAACTGCTGAAGTCCTATTCTGAGCCCCAAATGTCACAAAATTCCTTATTATAACTAATTCCTCAAAGTAGCGACTTGGCTTACCAAGAAAATACTCTAATATTGCCCAAATATTGTAAGTACATTAATTTGCCAGAATTTCCCTAAGACCTCTGCTCTAATATTTCTTTTAAAAATCCTGTGATTTTGTATCTTTGTCTTGCAAGTAGAACAGGACATTTGTAGGTCAGATTCTACTATGTGTCATTGTTAAACTGAGAAAATGATCGAGAATTTTTTTTTTAACTCATATTTTAGATTCTCTACTGGAGTAAAACAGGCTTTTCCCTGTTTAGGAGGTTACTTCTGAGTTGTGGAAATTCTCTCCCCTTCTTCCCCTTTGTTATTGTATTTCTCCTGCATCTCCTACTCCATTTCAGTTGCCATAGTCAGACAGAGGCTGTGAGGATGCAGTTTTCCCACGTCTGCTCCACAGAGGCCGCTCAGGGTCGACCTTGGTGATTTGGTGGCATTTTCAGTCCATTGCCAGCTTTGTTATTCCCTCAACAGACCCAGTAGCAGACTGTAAGATGTAGATGAGGTAGCTGCCATCTGACCCTGTAGGGTCACAATATCTGGTGTAGGAGCAATTGGCCATATGTGGCCAGTCCAAATAGGATGTGCAGTCAGTGTAAAGGGCACACTGGACTTCGAAGATTTAGTAGAAAAATTAATATAAATTAATATATCATTAATTTAAAGTATTAATTACATCTTGAAATGATGTTTTAGATGCATTGGCTTAAATAAAAATGTATTATGATTAATTTCACCTGCTCCTTTTCACTTTTTAACGTGGCTGCTAGAGAGTTTTAGAAAGGGCGGAAGTGACTGGCATTGTGTTTCTGCTCAGTAGCTGTGCTGTGGACCCCTCCCCTGACCCCGGACACAACCAAGAAGAAACAGTTTTGGAACCCTAGGCAGGACCTCATCACAGGGTGTTGCCCAGGTCCCGGGCATGGTCCAGACTCGGCCACGCATGAGTCACTTGGCCACGCATGAGCCACGTGGCCCTGTGCCCCTTGGCCATAATACCCTCTTCTGAACATGGATTTCCTGATGGTGTCAACCGACTGTGAATAAGCCTTTGGGGATGAATACAGAGACTTCTCCCTGTATTTCTGCTGCATCTTGAGTTGTAGCTGCTGGGGAAGGAGCCCTTCCTAGAGGGGCATCCAGGACAAGCAGGTGAGCCTTGTCTCAAAGCCAGGCAGAGTCTGTGTGGGGCCCCGGTGCCCACTCTTCTCCAGGAGCATGACCTACACCCTAGAGCACTGGACACAGAACACCCTCTGTCTCCTGGGCCATCTCCCTGCGTGGAGGCTTTGGAACTGTCAGAACACAAAGTGCTTTTTGAGCTTTGACTGGGAAACAGAACTTCGCTTTGAGTCTGTGTCAAGCCTAATGCTGTTCTGGGGCAGGACAACCCATCCATCCCTCCCCAAGAGATACCTGCCACCCCTTCAGGGCAGGACAGCCCATCTGTCCTTCCCCAAGAGATACCCACTGCCCCTCCAGATGCTGGAGAAGCAGTGAGATCTGAGTATTATGGAGAGAAAGAATTTGCTACATTCTCAAGCTCTCTCCTGTGACAGGACCTGGGCCTGGGGTGAAAGTGAAAGTGAAATTGCTCAGTTGTGTCCAACTCTTTGCGACCCCATGGACTGTAGCCCACCAGGCTCCTCCATCCACGGAATTTTCCAGGCAAGAGTACTGGGATGGGTTGCCATTTCCTTCTCCAGGGGATCTTCCTGGTTCAGGGATCGAACCCGGGTCTCCCACATTGCAGGCAGATGCTTTACCGTCTGAACCACCAGGGATCTATTTTAGGGAGACTTGACTTCAGGCTTTTTATGTAAAGGAGGTCTCAGCTTGAGAGGAAGTGGAAGGAGACAAAGCCTGTGTTTTCCAGCCCCAGTGGAACAGGGAGCAGAAGGTGGGAGAGGAGAGGGTCCCTCACCAGCGACCCAGAGCCAAGTGTTAGAAACACCGGGATAGTCGTAGGCAGGCTGGGACACTGGGGCTGGAGATGCCTCTCCTGGCTGGGGCACGGGGTCTGTGGGTGCCTGGGGGGCACCAGCCTTCAACTAGAGCTCTACCCAGGCAAGTGCACGTGGTGACATGTGGCAGGAGCGTGGGCCAGCGCCTGGTTCCCGCAGCCCACCCATGGGTTCAAAGAGCCTGGGGGCCAGAGAACAGAGTCCTCACTGAGCCCCTGTGTATTTCCGAGATCTTGAAGTCCTAACTCCGCTTTTCCACCCTGGAGAGGAGCTGGGCAGAGGGAAGAAGAGGGACTAAACATTCAGCCTCAGGGACTTGGGCTGCACTGCTTGGCTGGACTGAAATCTAATGCTGTTTCTGCTCCTGCTGGGGTTTCCCAGGTGGCTCAGATGGTAAAGAACGCGCCTGCAATGTAGGAGACGTGGGTTCGATCCCTGGGTTGGGAAGGTCCCCTGGAGGAGTGCATGGCAACCCACTCCAGTATTCTTGCCTGGAGAATTCCACAGACAGAGGAGCCTGGTGGGCTACAGTCCATGGGGTCGCACAGATTCAGACAGGACTGAAGCAACTTAACACGCACGCACGCATGTGCAAGCTATGCAGCAGGTGAGGCTGGGACAGCAAGATTAGATGGATTACAAAACATAATCGATGTTTTCTGGCTTATGCAAACTTTGTGAGAGTAAATTCCCATGCCCGTCCTCACATTCGACATAATCAGGGGATGGCCTGCCGCCAGTCGGGCGCTCAGCTTGGTTCCATGCAAACCACACTCTGGAAGCTCATGGAGCGTACTGGGGTTGCAGGAACGCACACGGTGAGGGTGGTGACAGAGGTCTGAACGGAGCGATGCAGGGAGGGAGGGGGGTCTACACAAGGTGTCGAGATGTGGTGACAGCCGAGCTTCCTAACGGGAGCCCAGGTTCTGCAGGGGGCCGGGATACCATGATTCGAGTGGAAGAAGGGCTCCACACAGAAGCCCTGATGTGTAACAGACAGGATGGGGGACACAGGCAGTGGGGCTGGAGGGGCGGATGACCCTGCGGAAGGCTCTGAGGCAGTGCTGATGGAACCCGTGTGCCCTCACCTCACCAAGTCCTGTAAACGTGGCCAAAAGCGGCAGAGAGCGGCGCGTGGCACTTATCTCAACTGGACTTCATCTCACAAGGGAGGGATACACAGCGTCTCACAACCTCCCAGGCTGGTACAGCCATGAACACTAACACAAACACTACGTCACGAGACCCCGAGACCCCCTCGGCCGCCCCCTCACTCAGCCCCCACCTGGGGGGCCCCCCGGGGCCCAGCAGGAGAGGAGCGTCCCACTCACCTGAACTTCGACTTGGAGATCCGGTGGCTGAAAGGGAAAGAGGAGACGTTAGCAGATGACATACGTTTGCCTCGATTCTCAGACGCTCCCGGGTGACCACGCAGGCGCTGGAAGGAGCAGCTTCAGGGAGAGAGCTCTGTGGTCAGCACCTCCTGGCGCTCGAGGGTTTGAAGCCGAGACACAGGGCCAGCCCAGCCCGCGAACCTATGAATCGAGCATCTTTAAGTGGAGACACGGTCCCCAGAGCTCAGCGCTGTGTCCTCAGACCATCAGCCGGGCTGACCACAGGTTGGGGCCTCTCCTGAGGACTGTGGTGGAGGACAGGAGCCCCTGCTGCAGACACGGCCTTTGGCAGCTGGACGTCAGGTGGAAACGGGCTGGCTGAGACCCAGCACCCTGAGAACAGAAGGCTGAGGGCTGAGCCTGGGCCTGAGGAAATGGCTGGGCTCCCGAGCACAACCCCTCATGCTGACAGTGGTGTGCGGCCCTGAAGACCTGGGCCCTCATGGGTAGGAGCACGGCGGCTGTGCAGGTGGCTGACTCGAGGGTCACTGTGGTGGGGGGTGGGTCAGGAACCTTCCAGGAGGCCCTGAGGCCCGTGGGAGGGTGGCTGGGGCAGAGAGTGTGCAGGCAGTTGAGGCTGATCAGTCGAAGGCTGAGTTTCAGGATGGCCCAGGTGTCTGGGGAGTGAGTGCTGGTCAGGCCACGGGTTGGGGGATCCAGACGGCCCGCCCAGTTCAGCGCTAAGTGAGCTCTGCTGTGAAGCAAAAAAACAACCCCTCTTGTTATGTTTCATTAAAAAAACACTAAACCAGAAGATGTGACAGGTGGCAGAGCCATTGTGCGTGAGATAATTATACCTCCCGGGCCGGAGAACCTGAGCCAAGAGCCTTTACTGCTCCAAACTGCCAGCTAATAACTGATCCCACTGAAGATGCTGGCCGGGGCGCAGGGTCTAGTCACATGGCCCGAGGGTGAGGCTGGGGTGCAGGGTCCAACAACATACCACACGGCCTGAGGGGGAGGCTGGACCCGTTTAATGGGGAAGCAAAAGTCGTCCAGCTGTGCTGGGCGGCGGTCAGTCAGCGGTCCCTCTTCCAGCCCGGCCTGGCTCACTGTGCAGCTGAACCCTCGCTGTGGACACCAGCCGGGGTGGGCGGCCGTCAGCCTGGCCACTCTGCCAAAGTGCCCAGAGATCCCGGGTCCTCTGGGGGGCCGTTAGAGTGCAGACCACACGCCCTCCCTGTAAGGCTCCCTTTTAGGCCAATGGGTCATAAGCAAAAAAGAGTTCTTAAAGGGCCCTGTTGGGGGCAGCTGAGGTCAGAGTGTCCATGTCTCCCAAGGCAGTGACTCTGGGACTTGGGTGAGGGCGACCCAGGGCTCCTGTTGGAGACGAGTCCCCAGGTAAGCGAGGCCACTGGCTGTGGCTCCTTCCTGGGTGTTCTGGAATGTTCTGAGGAGGAGAACATGGACAGGACTTTCTCTCCCCCAGGGTCACACGTCCTGATGTGGGACCCTGGATGCCACACTGAAGCCTGACTGCTGCTTTTGGGTCGTGAGCATTGTTCCACAGGCTTTCTGGATCCATAGCTTTCACCCCCTTTAAGCACCGAATACTTGAGCCCTCAGGTAAGAGGGGGTCCTTGGGGGCAGGTGTCTGGAGACAAAGGAGAGCCCAGATCTTGGGGAACCAAGGACCTCATGCTCCCCATGCAGGAGAGTCAGCGTGCTTCACGGAACCAGAGGGACCTGGTCTCCACTGTCCTCGAGTCCTGGGCAGTGACCACTGACTCTGGGTTTGGAGAACTGGTTATCTTGCTGGTGGACAGGTGAGTGGGGCACCTGTGGGCACCATGCCTGCCCCTCACCCTGTTCTCTGGCCGTGTGTCGGGTGCTGCCTTCTCATGGGCTTCAAACCCTCAATCCCAGCAAGTCCGCAGACACCGGAGGCCCCAGAGCTCCAGACCCCGCTGGGGACCACCTGTTCAGATGGCGTCGGGCTCCCCCGGTCCCTGCTCTGCGAGGATGATTCCCATCCCGTGTTTTACATAGACTCCTGAGGAGTGGCAGGTGGAGAACAGAGGAATCGCATCTAAGACCACGTGCAGCCCAGTGGGTTGGGCCTGAAGCCCAGCTGCCTCCTCTGTTCAGGCCGCCAGGACACACTTACCTCCCCAGGGGCCGAAAGCAAGAGACATACTCAGAACTCCCTCTGCTTCCCTCAGTTTGCATTTGTCATTCTTGGCCAAATATTTGAACTTCTTGGGAGCTCCTTCCGCAGTTAACCTTTCACCGTAGTAGAGTCTGGAGCCCTGGACGCCTGCCCGCTGCCGTGTTTGGAACTGTCCTTGCCCCAATCCTCCCAATCTGCCTGAGCATCAGTCGGAAGGGCTGCTGGCCTCTCCTGGGTGACGCTCGTCTCCTTGACTCCGCGCATGGCTGGTGCAGCCAGAGGGTCCGGGCCCAGACCCCCTCTTCACAGAGCCTTGCCTCAAAGACTGGGGCTGGACTAGCTTCTCTGCATTTCTGGCCAGAGGCCCCCTCCCTCTATTCTTCCCTGGAGCCTGATCAACCCCCGCTGGCTCCTCCCCATCACCTAGCCCCCACCCAGCCCCCTGGTGCTCTGGTGCTGGAGAAGACTCTTGAGAGTTCCTTGACCAGCAAGGAGAGTCAACCAGTCAATGCTAAAGGAAATCAGTCCTGAATATTCATTGGAAGGACTGACGCCGAAGCTGAAGCTCCAATACTTTGGCTACCTGATGTGAAGAGATGACTCATTGGAAAAGACCCTACTGTAGGGAAAGATTGAAGGCGGGAGGAGAAGGGGCCAACAGAGGACAAGATGGTTGGATGGCATCACTGACTCAATGGAAATGAGTTAGAGCAAGCTCTGGGAGATGGTGATGGACAGGGAAGCCTGGCGTGCTGTATGTAGTCCATGGGGTCGAAAAGAGTCGGACACAACTGAGCGACTGAACAACAACCCCCCAGGCCAACACTACAGCTGCCGAGCCCTGTGTCATGTCCATGTCGCCCTCAGCATGATGCAGACTCCGGGCATGCTCAGCCAACCTCATGCTGGCTGCTCTACTGTCTGCTCTCCGAGGGTCCCACTGCACAGACCCCACTCGAGGCTGATGCTTTTGGCATCAGTCTCCCTGTGGCCTCCACTGGGCCCCGAGGTCTTGGCCTCCTCTCGGGGCCTCTCCCTGAGCTCATGTCTGGCCTCCACTCGGCCCCGAGTCTCGGCCTCCTCTCGGGGCCTCTCCAGCTTTTACCTCCTGTGCCATCTGGGACCCCTGAGCTCATGCCTGTGGCAAGGCGCACATCATTCGTGGTGTCAGAGTTGGAAGCCTGTTTGATTCTTCCTTCTTGCAGATCTGTGGGCTTTGAGACCAAGGGGACCTTGCACACCACCTGGGCTGGGGCCTGCAGTTTAACACAGTGCAGCCTGCTTCTCTCACGGCCACTCTCCCGCGGAAATTGCCTTCCGAACGCTTATCCCAAATCACAGTGACGCCCAGGGTCACTTCCACACCAGGCTGTGAGTTCCAGTGGGGTGGTGTCACCATGGTCTCAGGCTCCGTGTCCCCGTGGCCTGGCACCGAGTGGGCGTGCTGCCCAGATGGGGTACAAACGAAGAGCTCAGCCTGGACATCCCTCCTCCAGTGGCCTCTGGGCCCGTGCTGGCTGGTCTCTTGGCACCTCTCCATCTGTTTCATTTACTTGCTCTTTTACTTCTAAAAAAAGTGTCTAAACACTTCCCAGCCTTCAGCCCCGGCCTTCCACCCGGGTGAACAGCCTTGGTGTCAGTGCCATGTAACCGCATCCTTAATTTCTAAACTGAGGCCTCTGGCACCCAAAAGAAAAACCCGGCCCCCAAAACCTGCAACCCCCCCCGGGAACTCAAGGGCCAAAACCTTTCCGGCCTCAAACTCAATGGACGGCTCCCTCCTCTCATCCCCTCCCTTGCTTGCCTGCCCCCTCCCCACAAAACATCACCTTGTGGTCCCTTTCTGTCTGCCCCATCCCCTTGGAACCATCTTCAGCCAGGCCTCTCACGACACAGAAATCCTCATCCTGCTACTCAGGCTGTTTGTTCTCAGCTTCAGAAATGCTGGCGTCTCCCTGCTCATCTCGCTTGGCCTCAGCCCCCGGCGTTAACGCTGCGTCCCCACCAGGAACGCTGATGGTCTTCTCGCATGGCTGTCTGAAGCTGCTGGGGAAAGATGGCAGTCTATGAAGGACATACTATAATCCTGGTGCTGGGGCCAGGCATTTTATCTGCACACAGTAGGGGCACAAACAGGGGTGTTTGTGGGGACCGCTGTTCATTCCTGCCAAGTCCTGGCGGCTTGCATGACATGTCCTGAAGATGTTAGTCCCCTCTGTGGGGACAGGCTTGTGGGGGCCAAGCGCCCTGGTCTCCCTCGGCCTGTCACCTGGGCCCAGAGCCAGAGGGTAACGTCCTCATCACCTTCCCTCCGTCCCTTTGGGGACCTGCCATTCACCTTCTCAACTGTGGCGGGCCAGGCCCATGTCCACAATCCTGAGAGATTGTTTGTGCTGTTCTAACAGGAGGGAAGAGGGGAGGGTTCACCCTGCTGCTTTGAATGTAATTAGCCCTGTATTTTAACAACAGTTTGACAATAACTGCTTCCCCACATCGCTGGGGCTCAGCAGCATAGATTCCTGGTGCTGCTGTTGTGGGGAGTGATGGCAAGGCCGTGTACCCTGGAAACCGTCTGTTCTTGCTCCCTACTTGCTTGAAGGCTGGCCTGGCTCAGACGAGAGGCACCCACAAGGGGACTGCCTTGCGAGGGCAGGGGTCACCCAGATACAAAGGCATTTCAGGGGCACAGGTCAACGAGGACGCCGTTCCCACGACAGAGGGACTCAGACACTCAGCCGACGTGGGGTCAGTCCTCCTCCAAGCCCCCTGTCTGCTGTTCCTTTTAGTTTCCAGGGTTAGTCTTACATCCCTGGGAACAAGGGCAAGCAGCCCCCACTTCCCAATGTGCAGCCTGGCAGGTGCAGGAGGCCCTACCTCAGGGTCAGCCTGACTCCTGATGGAACCCAGCTTACAGTTTGTGGACTCTGCTTTTTGAGACTCTGAGAATGGAACCCAGCAGTGTGCTTATTTTTAGCAGTTAAGCCATTTTCCTTTCATTTCTTGCTGGGGGACATCTCCTAGGGCCTGCTGGTATCCATTTTTAGGATGGAGCTTAGAGGGGATGGTGTCCCTCCACACACCTGGCCCAACGCCGGACCCAAGTCTGCTCAGGAAACCGGGGGCTGGGGCTTGTGTTAGGGGAGGTGGCCGCTTGCCCGGCTGGCACTGGTGAAATTTCATAGCTGAGTTTGCATGGCAGACAACTGCGCTCCCTTCCCCGGGTAGATAACTCAGAGCCGTAAGTAAGACCACCACTCCCAGAGTATTTTCTTGCCAGTTTGCCTATCCCCTGGGTCACATTTATCAGAAATGAAAGGGTGCTTAGCAGGACCCGGGAACCCTCACAAAGCTGATCTGAAGAAATGGGGTGAGGGGCTGGGAAGAAACAGACTTCAAGGCCCCCTCAACACATGTAGCCCCCACCCCCAAAGAGATACACACTCTGCTTCCCTGATGGGATGGAAAGGGGCTCAAAGTCCCAAGTCCAACTCCTGGGACGTGCAGAGCGGCCCCCAGCCGGGGCCGTGCTCACCCACTCCCGGGACCACGGGCCCCACTCCCGAGACTACTCACGCCAGCCTGGCCCCGCAGCTCTCTCCCTCGACATCCCCTCCAGCCACGTTCTCGGTGTTGACGGACTCGGTCTCACTGGTGGGCATGCTCACTGCAGGGTCGTGGAGGGAAGGAGAGAGGGGTTAGTCTGCAGCCCAGCCAGGACGGGAGCCCTGGCAGTGCCTGGCTGTCTGTGGTCCTGACTCACACACCTGCTGCCTGTCTATGGTGACCCTCGCCACCCAGGACACTCTAAGGGGGACGCTAACTCCCTCCCCAACTCAGTCCCTCCTCTACCATCAACCCCATGCGCTTGGACAAGCTGCTCCCACTTTCCCTTTTGCATCCATTCTTCCAGATAAAAAGAAGAGCTTTCACGACAATATTTTATTTTTCTTATTTCTTTCCAGCCCCCTATTCTAAGGGGCTTCGTCCCCACGCTTAGGGTCCAGCCTGTCCGTAGAAAGGATGTCTTTGACAAGGGTGTGGGCTGCTCGATGGGTCAGAGGAGGGTCTGCCCCTCGGCCTGAGTCCTGCTCACTGGGTTGATTCCATCCAGGACGGAGCCTGAAACAACTCGTAGGGAGTAGCTGCGTCCAGTGCCACATTCAGGACTCAGTTCAGCCCTGCAGACGTGGGAATGAGAAGCCTTCATGCCAGACCCACCAAATGACAGTGAGACACAGCCTGAAGACACACGTAGGGAAACCACCTCCCCACAGTATCTTGGCGGGCCGGCCTGGGACACAGTCCATCCGACTCCATGATGGCCGACCCGCCCAATTGTCTCCAGTTTCCCCCGAGGTGGTGGGGCTGGATTTCCAGGGCGACTGGAATCTTCTAGCTTGGAGTCCAGGTCAGCGGCTTAGAAAAAGAGACTCCTTTTACTGTTGTTCAGTCGTTCAGTCGTGTCCAATTCTTTGCGTTCCCGTGGACTGCAACACACCAGGCTTCCCTGTCCTTCACTGTCTCCAGGAGTTTGCCCTAACTCATGTCCATGGAGTCAGTGATGCCATCCAACTATCTCATCCTCTTTCTTCTATTACTATTTTTTATTCCAAATAAAAGTATATCCCCAAAGAATTCTTCTCCTTCTTTTCCAGCTTCTCTGACCCTTCTAACATGCCACACAATGTCCTTATCTTTCCCGTCCTTGTTCTCTAGCATGGCCACCACATCCATGGTCCTGGCTCAGCTCTGTTTGCAGCGTGGCACCCTCATCCGGGGCAGGTCAGGAGCCCCAGTGGCCACAGAACCTGCGCTGGTGGGGGCTGGACATCTGGGGATGTGAAACAGGGACCAGTACCAGGGGGTCTGCCGCCAGCACAGAGCACGCCATCCGGATAAGTCTCCTGGTTGGGTGGGGGATGTTGCTGGATGTGGCTTTTCCTTAGTTTCTTTCCTTTTGAATGAAGTCAAGGGCAGGTGAGAGAGACTCATTCCCAGAACGTGAAGACACAACCTGAAAGCCTGCGACTCTATAAGCCTGACTGTCCTGTATCCACCCTTGAGTCCTTTTCCACAAACTCGGGTGTAAACAAATCCAGACGACATTGCAAGGGAGTCGCCCAGTCTTCTCGTCACAGGACAGGGAGGTGAGGCCCAGGGCAGGGCCAGGTGCTGACTCACACATGGTTGGGGGCTTGGACTGGAGCACAGGGGTCTTGGCCACCGCGCTGTGCTCAGCTTGATGGCCCCCGGGCTACACACCAGACGAGATGGGATTCCGACAGCCGGGCAGGCTCTGGGGCATCACAGAGTGTGGGGTGCAGTCACCCGGTGATGCTGGATCTCACTGTCTACAGCTGCACTGAGAGTGACCTTAACCTTGGCCAGTGATCTTCAAAGGAAAGGCCCTCTCAGGGCTCAGCCGCTGCAGTTGTCATGTTCACTGACTTTACAGGCTGGAAGGGACAGCGAGGTGGTGGATTTGGGTGGGACAGGCCACCCTCCCTTTGCATGCACATGCACACACACACACACCACACACACACAAACACACACACACACACACACACACCCTGCCCTGTGGGCACCAGCACATGTTTACATGCATGTGTGGGGGACGTCACCATGGGTTTCTGGGGGCGATTAGACCAAGCAACCAAGAAACTCTCCTTCCTTCTGATCAAGCAGACACACCAGGTGCCTCCTTTCACAGATAAGACATCAGAGTCAAAAATCAGGAATAAGACATGGGCAGAGCTCAGGTCAGCTATGGGGAAAGAAAGAAATAGGACTCGGCATCCACAAGGGACGTCGGGCTCACTTCAGAAAACAAAACTGAAGAAACGGTAAAAAGCAATAAACAAAACATGTAAGAACACTTAACAAAACAGGACCCAAACCCCAGATCACATGAACTTATGACATAGGGCCACGGATCCTGGGGAGAAGGAAGGACTCCCACAGAAGTGTTGTCTGCAGATGGGGGTGACTTTGAGGAGAGGGCTTCCCAGGCAGGACAACCTCATCTCTGCTTGTTAGTGGGAATCCTGAAGACTAGATCATGAGAAGAAATGGATCAGGATTCTTTTCAACATATGTAAAGGAGTCCACCCCAAATAGACTTATTTTCACAATACAAAGCTAAAAACAACTTTGATGGACCTGGAGGACATTAGGCTTGGTGAAATAAGTCAGAGAAAGACAAATACTGTATGTTAGCACTTATATATGGGATATAAAAAATAAATGAATGGATATAACAAGGAGATCAAACTAGTCAGTCCTAAAGGAAATCAGTCCTGAATGTTCATTTGAAGGACTGATGCTGAAGCTGAAGCTCTAGTACTTTGGCCACCTGATGTGAAGAACTGACTCATTGGAAAAGACTCTGATGCTAGGAAAGATTGAAGGCAGGAGGAGAAGGGGATGACAGAGGATGAGATGGTTAGATGGCATCACCAACTCGATGGACACGAGTTTGAGCAAGCTCCAGGAGTTGGTGATGGACAGGGAAGCCTGGTGTGCTGCAGTCCATGGGGTCACAAAGAGTCAGACATGACTGAGTGAGTGAACTGAACTGAACAAGGGCAAGGGAGTAAGGGACTTCCCAGGTGATAATTAGTAGTGAAGAACCTGCCTCCAATGTAGGAGATGTAAGAGACGCGGGTTTGATCCCTGGGTTGGGGAGACCCCCTGGAGGAAGGCATGGCAACCCACTCCAGTATTCTTGTCTGGAGAATCCCATGGAGAGAGGAGTCTGGTGGGCTACAGTCCATAGGGTCACAAAGAGTTGGACATGACTGAAGTGACTTAGCACGTATGCATAGATTCTTTTTCAGGTCCTAATGGTACTGGTTGTGCGATTACAGCAGGCATTTGGTATCTTTGGGGGTTTCAGGGCTGCTCCCTTGGGCTGGTGTCTTGGGGTTTGTCCTTCAGCTGCTCCTCCATCCGGGATCCGGGAGGCTGACCTTTGCAGATAGCCTGAAGGACAGTGCCAGAAGAGACCGTTTGGGGCTGTCACCCCTGGTGCCTGCATCTTTGTGAGCCTCCTCTTAAACTACCCAGTTGTCGAATCCATTTGCTGTCAGGACCTGACCCATATGCCTCTGGGTGCAGGCCAGGTGAGCAGTGTGAACCCAGTGATGGGGGAGATTTGCTGTCCAGGTCAGAGTGGGTGGAGCAGGGGACACTGGCCTGAGTCTAGGGCCTTCCTGGCTCTGTCAGGCAGCATCCAGGGCAGCTGAACTCTGGTAACCCTGCAGGCTGACTTCCTGGGAGGCACCAGGGAGCCAGGGCATCACCGGGGGCATGGCTTGAGCCCCGGGCAGAATGGGACGGACATCCTGGGTGGGGTTACTGCCCCAGGACCCTCTTGGGGTGGGGGGAACCACATCACATTTCATTTGGTTTCCTTTCCTCCTGCAGGAAAAGTAACTCAAGAGTTAGTCCTCACTTCTTCTCTGTAGCTGGGGAGGTCCAACCTATGGCCACTCATGGTCAGAGGCTGTGGGGTATAGGAGCCTCCTCCCAGTCTCTGCCCAGCTCAGGCTCCTGGGAGCCTCCCTGGCATTGCACTGTGGGTCTAGAAATTGCCAGTGCTACCCTAGCCTTGGCCAGGCCATGGGACCATTCCAACTAGGTTACATGATAACCTGGGGCTCATGGCCTTCGTCTCTTATAGGAATAAATCGACCAGACCGAGCTGACAGTCTCTTCCAAGGCAAAGAAAGAGACGGGGCAGGAGAGGAAAAGCAGATTGCAGACAAAAGAGCGAAGAGTTGGGGAGAGAGAAGGTAAGTGGTGCCAGCTTCAGGGCCTGTCTGGGTGGAAGGTCATGCTGCCCCCAGAGCCTCCTCGGCAGCGTCCTGAGTGCCCGGGCCCCACAGGGCCGCCTCCCCAGAAGCAGTTAAGACCTGGCTGATTCTAAGCCATCAGAAAGTAAATATAAAACAGGATTAAATATTAAGAAGCCAAACAAAGTGGCCTTATTAAAAAGGCACAATGTAAGCACGACATGCTGTCGCAATAATTATTATTACCGCCATAAACCGGAGGAGGCAGAAACGCCCGCCCTTGGTCTGCAGCCGCCATCCGGAGGAGAAAACCAGGTCGCTGTGCTCCCAGCAGGCCATAAACACCCGGCGCTCCCAAGCAGAAAATCTCTCCCCACGGTCACGGTGCCACTGCGACGGCCACCTCAGTTAGGACGGGGCAGGGGGACCATGCAGCCGCACCAGACGGAGGGCTGCACTTGGGCACCCGGCTTCTCGTCCCACCCGGCCCCACCATCCTGAGGGGTGAAGGGGCCAAGTTGGGCATCTCCAGGCCCTGACAACACTGGGCAAATAGGAGGGGCTGGACACCTCCCCCCTCCAACCCCCGAGGGACACAGCTCACTGCCACCCTCAGGGGTGAGAGAGGTGGTGATGGGTACCCTTCTGTGCAGGACGCCTCTGGAAACCAGCTGCTTTAGGCACAAAACTGCTTTTAGGTTGGAGACAATGTTCTAGATTCCAAGGCCAGGATCAGCAGAGGGTCACCCGTGTGGAGTGACATGTGAGGGACAGAGAATGGCTGTGTCCCCAGTCCCTCTCCAGCCCAGTCCCAGCCCAGCTGGACGGTGTCTACCCATGTCATCCCTCTGTTTTAGGGTCTTGGATT